ATTAAATGGCTCCTAATTCTTGTCATGGCACTAATTTTCGAGGACTGCCAAAAATTCGGTATGCACGAGTGCTGTCCAGCGTTGAAAGAAAGAAGAATAAAACTCGACTGCCCTATATCTAAGATAGTTTATCAAATACAGAATAAATACACGAATCAACGCTCGCGTTCTTGAAGATATTATTTTTAAGATACACCACTCAGCAAAATAATATAATTTGATCAATAGCAATTATTCCATGTTTGATGCTGTATCGAAAAATAACTTTGTAAGACTAAGCACTAAGAATAAGATCCTGATCAGTAAGAGAGCGTTGATTTGTGAGAAAGCGCGATCCGCGAGCGTTGATTCGTGGATTAATAAACATTTATTCTGTATTTAATAAATTTTTATCGTGGTGTCTTTAGTTGCTGTTGCGGCTACTGCTGCAGCATGCAGCCTCGGGCATTGCATCTATAGATTTTTAAAGAATTGATTGAGGCGATGAAAAAATGTCAAGGTATAGATAAACGGGTTTAGGTACGCTCCCAACAATAAGATGTAGAGATACCGCATTTTTCCAGCCATGCCGGTATCCAGTCTTCCCCTTTTATAGCAAAGAGGTGGAACCGTATACCGCAGTAGGACACCACATCACCCAGAAGAGACCTGTAACCGCCGCGGTTGTGACCAGGGCTGTGGTGGTCTGAGTGGAGTGTCCGTATGTGACTTTAAATACGTACTCACATAGGCCCACAGGACTATGTTAATGACGGTGATTACGGTAAACGGGACCAGGGTGAGAAGACTCATAATAACGAGGTTGGGAATGTCTCGTCCGTATATAAAAGAGCAAACAGCAAGTTTGGCATTGAAATCAGATTTACCGTGGACGATCAGAGTATAGGCGATGAAGATGCAAGAGAAAAACCAAACAATGACAGCAATAATATTCGCTTTTTTGTGACCAATGCCTGTTATAGCAGAGTTTGGATATCGGCACCTAAGATATCGATGTATTGAAACGATCAAGATAAAGTTGATGCTAGCGAAAGCTGGGATAGATACAGCGTAACCAATTATTTTGCACATTGTCCCACCAAATACCCAAGTCCGGGCGATGTTGGTTATCCCAATGGGAATTCCATACATCAGTATAACCACCATGTCTGAAATGGCAATGTTCCTCACAAAAACGATCGTCGCTCCATCCATTTTAAAAGTTCCATATTTGAGGGACGCAAATATAACGAGAGAATTCCCAATAAGTCCCAAAATGTTGCCCATTGTCAAGAGGGTGCCCCATATCACACTCTCTACTAAAGTGTGAACCTCTTCATACTCCGCCCCGTAATCCTCCGGTCTGACAACATCCATTGTTTAGTCACATTTTTACACTACTCTGAGCTGGTAATGGAATTGTTAATCATATACAAGTATCCAATTTAATTATATAATTATTGAGTTGATTGATAGATGGAAAATAAAGAATTAAAACATTCAATTCAAAGCATGGAATTAAAAGAGCATATTTTCTCCAGGCGCCCTTAAAACAAATTTGTTTCTAACATTATATTATATATAATTATCATACCACCTTTATTAGGTTGCAAAATGCAAAACATGAACATTTTAATTTTTCAGCTTGATTTGACCATAGTTTGCTATAAGTATACGGGATTAAAATGTAGACTCGCTAATTAAGAGATCATACTATTCGTCTCTAGTTTGTATGATCTTGGACACATCACGTACCGATAGGAATGATATTGATAGAAAAAGTCCAACTACCAACTAGTCAGTCAAGATTCAAATAGAACGCATCGAAAAATGCACTTTTTTGTCTAGATAAAAATAAAACCAAAACTGCGGATTTTGCGAGGTCGCGGTTTGCATTAATTTGAATTATCTTGTATCTATTGTTTCCGTTTATGAAATGCGTTTCGGTTTATTGTATACTTAGCTAATGTTATCTAAAATCAGTTGCCGTTAAAAGTGTGGTAATATTAATAAAGCTCATATCACTAATATTATAGGAAACGTCAATATACAATAATATAGAGATGCAGAATTATTCTTAGCCAAGATCAATACTGTAACAGTATACGATAATATTACGACCTTGTACTGCAATAATCAAGCGAACGAGTTTGGCGAGTGAGTTTCAATATTAAACATTATCGTACACACTTGCCTATTATGCCTAACACCGGCCTAAAAAACCGAAGAGTGCGATTAGTGATAATAACGGCGCTGCTACTAATTACACTTCAGTTGTATAATAAGTGTAAGTGTACTACTATATATACAGTAAATGTCAGTTTACTCCCACATGCACATAGTGCAATGCTATATTAATATATTACTAATGTAGGATTAACCACGGTACGGTCTGGTTATAACTGAACAAATTACCACATTAACTTTTATCCCGTGAGATATGGTATCTGATATACTGCTCGTTTAATGACAAATTTGCTGGATTAATTGGTGAGCGTGCGCAATCGACTAATTGTACAATAATTAATGATAATTTCCTTGAACAAAGTTAAAAATGAACTAGGTAGTAGGTAACGACCGAAAATTCTTTTACTTTCGACTATTCAATTTTTCTATTCCCACTAAAACAGTGATCAAAATATAATGAAAGGATCTTGAAGTTAATCGAATTTCACGAATTTCATAAAGCAAGTATGAAGTACTAATATGCGAGAGTTCAGACTTCAGTTCCACAAATTGCAAAGTTTTTCTATTTTAGCAGTTTAGTACTTAACTGACGAAGGACAAGTGCTGCAAGTGACCTAGAAATTGGTATTTTAGATCAGCAGCTGGCTTGAAAAACAAAGCGACTCCAGTCCTTACACCTCAGAAACAGGGCAGAAATTTAGTAACGTTCTGTCATCTGCCATTTGCCAACTTTAAAGCCGACCAGCTGGTGAATAAATATGAAAGACTAATAAATCTACCCATTCTGCTGTGGTTTGTACTGCATACTTTGTAATGGAGCGATTATTCGTCTTCATGCTCCAGACAGATGATATGCAACAGTTATACTATAATACTTATAGTCTGTAAACAGGTAATTGTAACCTGTCATTGTTACTGAGACATGAAATAAAACCAACGAATTAGTAATATCTAAAACTGGTCAGTGACAATAGGCGTTCGGCTAAAACTCAAGAACTAATTACAGCTGTTGGAAAAAGAGCGCACCTGTCAGAAGCTCATGACACAAATTGACAATGCTCATGTTAGAATCAGCTATATAAATTCTGTACAATGTTTGTACAAGCTATTCTGTGGTTACTGCTTACTGCTTAGTACTGCTATACTTAGAGTTAGCGTAACTATCTTAAATAATTGACAATGATAATTATTCATCTTAAAGTAAATGTGTAGTACAATACAAATTACCGGTAAAATTTATCGACAGAAAGAGTTGACCATTGGAAATTGATATGACATTTTTTGATATCTAAACATTTTTATAGCCTGTAGGACAAGTTGTTGAACGGTTCGGCAAAATTTCTTTAAAAGGTTGAATATTCAGTTATACCTTCAGTTCGGTAGTTAAATTTTCTTAATTAAATTTTCTTATAATGTAATTAAGTACAGTTTGAGACAAATTATACAAAACATATGACCAAATTATTAATCACGAGTATTTAAATGATTGATGAACATTGCAATTAGTTGAGCAAATTAAGATAGTTAATACAATTATTTACTTTTACTTTATCGGCTGTATGAAATAAATAAACTGCTGTGGAAATCAAAATACTTAATAAGTTTTAAAAGTTCTTGCTGTGCGTTTTTTGAACTATAATGACAATTACTGCAATTGTGAATTGATACAAAGTGGCAGTGGGGGGAGGGGCGCCATCTTAGGGGGCGCAAAATCGTCGTATGAATGTGGGACAATTTTGAAAACCTTAACTGAGGTACTAGCAAAACTGCGCGTTTTGCTCTAGAAACACACTTTTTTAGAGATTTTACCGGTGTATCCTCTAAAATCACCTAAGTTGTTCAATTTTAGGGAGGGGTGCCAACTGGGGAGGGGGCGCCAACAAGGGGGCGCATTTTCGGCGGGGGGGGGGGGGGGCGCCAACAGGCAACATTATGTCACTGCAAAGTGGATAATGATGTTGAAGCTCACTCTGACACAATACTGCAACGGTATAAGCCAACTTGGTCGGCTAATCTGTAAACATATTAAATATATTGGCTGAATTCTTAAGGACATTGTGATATTTAGTTTTTTACCAGGTACCACATGATGCAAGGCAAATACCTGGGAAAATATTTGCCTTGTCCCATTTTTTCCAAGTTCATTAGTTCTGTCGAGAGCTGTAATGCTCTCAACTAAATATCACAATGAAACAAACTTTTTAAATTTTTGGAAGTATCAGGCACATTGAACAGCCGGGCTGGGCTACATTGGAATTTTTGAACATCAGTATATATTTTGTTTTAAGAATGAAACAATATTTTCCATAAAGCACATACTGATACAGACTACAGAGCACGTGTACGAACACGATAACAAAGCAGCAAAAGTCTTCACTATAAAGAAATGCAAACACAGCACAATTGTTAGTACAAACACAACCAAGTGAATAAAGCAAATAACGTCGAGAATACGTTCCCCTTTTTACCTCCACTGAGATTGATTGCATCATTCAACATTTCTTTTAGTCTATAATATCTTGAATATTTTGTAATAAAAGTATCAGAACAACTAGGTTATCGAGCGTTTTGCTGAACTTCATAATTAATGAGTTGTGTATGTGATAAAAGTTAAACTTAAACCACGCAAACATTATGGTTGTTTTGCGATAGTCTCAAAGCGATGGTTAATGGTTATTGCGGAATGCAGTTAGCGCTAACTAGCGTTACCTTTCGATAGCTAGCACAATCTAGCGCTAACTAGGGCTAACTAGGGCTAACCATCGCGTTTAGACTATCGCAAAAGAACCAAAATTCTCAACATCTTTTATTTCACTAATTTGTCTGATTCCCAACTACCTGCTTCTACATCTGGGAGGTAGAGGACTAAGTAAATCTCGTTTTCTATCAGCAGGAGGGGTCCCCTTCAAGGACCGAGTATCAGCACCATTTCTTCTCATAAAACCGGGGAGAGGTGACCTCAATGTGTGGTGTTGTAATGACGCTAGAGAATGTGTTGCAGCTTCTTCAGAACATTTCTCCCTAAACATCCTCCTCAAGTGTTGCCACAAGAAGTTGCGGAACTTCTTGCTTACGGTGGTGTAAAGGATGGGGTTCCCGTAGGTCCCGACGAAATAAACATACCTTATCCTCTCTAGAAAAGTGGGAATGTTCTCCTCTCCTATAACTGCTGACAGAACAAATCTGATAAGAGTTGGGAACCAGCAGACGATGAAGAAAGCAGTGATACAAGACGTCATAACAAGAGCTTGGTGACTCGTCCGACACTTTGAGTTCTTCTTGTTTCGTTTATCTGAACAATCCACACACCCTGACCTTCTCCTCGTCTTCTTAACCACATTCCGGACAAATAGCCACAACCCCACGTTCAGTGTTAAGATAACAAGGAAAGGAACCACCGTGGTGAATAAAATAACGAGTAAATTCCAGACTGAGGTGGAAAAGTTGAACTGACATCCTCCTAGTTTGGGTTGAAATGAAACCTTCGCTTTCGAAATATAGACGTAAACAATGAAGAGGCAGGAGTATATCCAGAGTCCCAGGCAAAGATATCTGACTCTCTTCTTATTCAACCAAGCTATATCTAGAGGAAACTTACACCTGGCGTACCTGTGTATGGAAACAGCGAGGATGAAATTAATATTCGCTAGCACTGGTACCGAACAGAACATTCCTGTAACCACACATAGGGTTTCTCCGAGGATCCAGCCGTGAGCCAGATGAGTCACCATCATTGGCACCAGGTACATTATGATGAAGATCAAGTCTGCTGCTGCCAGTTGTTGGATGAGATGGACGGTTGCATAGTCCATACCAAAAGCATCGTATCTCATTGAGGCGTATATGACAAATGTGTTCCCAACCAAACCTGGTAATATAATTGTGTAATAGTGTAATGACTTAATGAGATCAAATGGACAATTGTAAAATCTTATTGATGTTTAACTTCAAATTTTGGTTTATTCCAATATTTTTCAATTCACAAGTTTCGCTATGAATGTCAGGGTAACATAAAAACTAAAAAGTAACAGCTCATACCTATGCAATTTCCAGTGAGGAGGAAGAATGCGTAGAAAGAACTCTCATGGGGGACTGAAGTCACGTTGTTATATCCCTCCTCATCGTAAAGTGGAACAGTATCATCCAACATTCTAAACGATTAGTTTTGCCTCCCTTATTTTAATTTAGTATTAAAGGAAAACTTTGTACATTTGTGAATTTAAAACACTTTTAAAGTTCTAACGGCTCATCACTCATGTCACTGCTCCTTGCTTGGAGAAGACACGTACAAAGACGCGTGCAATCTGTCGAGGGAACTTCAATCAAAAGATATACCTTATCGGACCTTATTTGGACGGACATTACATGAACGGACATAATTGTGAACGGACATTAATAATAATATGAACGCTCGAAGGCATTCAAAACCATAAAAAATCCGAATTTTTTTCAATTTTTTGACTTTTTTTAATTTCAGCAAATGATTTTTTAATCCATTTTTCATACAGTAAGTAAGAAAAGCAGTCATTAAGCAGTAAAAATGTTAAAATATGTGTACATGATCAGTGTCTAATATCACATATCATCTTCATTAAATGGGTTTTCGTGCATGAAATAGTCCATGCTTAAACAAGCATCAGTGATTTCTAGCTTTATGTGGAAACCTTTTTTTATCAAACTACCCCGGTCCTGCATTTCTTTGTTAACTTTTACAAGCCATTCGGCGTGAAGTGGTTTTATCTTAGACAACTTTAAGTTAACCATAACATCACGTAGAGCTTTCCTGGCACTGTTTCATTACCTCCCCTCAGTAATATGAACTATAACAACGTCGGACAATGTCCTTGGCAACACGATTTACCGTAATATCTAGAGGCTGGAACAAGTTTGTCATGTTGGCGGGGACTAGCTCATGAACTATGTTGTTGAGTGCCATAATTTTGTTGACTTTTTTCCGCCAAGTGACCCTTGAAAACATCATATACTAGTAGAGTTTTCTGTGCCTCCAGCAGACCAAGGAGAAACTTTCCGTCGTTAACTTACGGCACAATATTCTGGACAAAAAGTTCGAAATGGAAAAATTTTTGAAAAAATTTCAACGGACTTTAACTTGGACGGACATTAATTGAACGGACTTTATTTGAACGGACATTAAGATGAACGCTAGGGCCTCCAGCGTTCAAGTAATGTCCGTTCAAATAAGGTCCGATAAGGTAGTACATTATAAACTAAGATGGCAAGTACGTACGGTACGTACCTTTAAATTAGCTGTGCGGTACGTACTTAATAAAGTAGGCTGAAAGGTACAAATCCAGTTGCTAGCAATGGATTTCAGTGTTTTAAGTTCTTCGTCAATTTGTGAGACCAATTTTAGGGACTACGAGTATATAATGGACAAGCGTAGATTAAGGTTGCGACCTGAGCTAGCTGAAAAGCTGGTGTTCGCATACTGCAACAAAAGGATGAAGCTTCGAGTTTAACGATAATTACAAGTAGTAGTAGTGTAGTACCGGTTAAGAGCGATCTGGTACACAAATTTTCCTCTTAAATCTTTTATTGTTTTAACCACTGTGTTTCTTTTCGACTTCTATCTCAAAAATTATGATGATAATACTAATCAAAAATTGCAAGTAATTCACTGAAGTTAATTCTAAAAATTTGAAAAAATTGTACCTTACAGTGCCTGTACGGTACGTACCTTTAAAAGTAGCTGTACCGTACGTACTTAAAGCCCTGTACCGTACGTACTTGCCATCTTAGATTATAAATTGTGTCTTGCTGATGTCTTGCTGATCTAGGCCACCAAATGTTCAGCATTGTGATGAATTAACACTCAACCATTTAATTTAACTTTTAAAATAACTTAATATGACACGATTCCAGGATCACAGCCACCAAAATCAGGCCGCCACATCTTTGACTTTGATTAACAGTAACCAATAACCATTGTCAAAGACAAAAGTAATGATGGCTTGATAAAAAGCATAGTTGGTTCGTGCGCACTTAACGTACTTTTAAAACATAACGCACTTAACGTACGAAAAAACGTAAAACGCACTTTTACCTACCCTCGCTGGGCCATTTGCGGTTTTTTCATTTTTGAATACACAGTTCAAAACATCAGACAGTGTTATTTCCAAGATTTCATATAAACTGTCATTGGTGAGCCTTACAGTAGCTATTTTTGGAATGCCTGTGTGCGTGAAACTATAAAATGTAAAAGAAATAAATGTAATTTATTCGCTATGTAATCTTTAAGAACGTTATTCATGTGTTTTAATTGTTTGTCTCTACTGCTACAGTCTACAGAAAATGTGGTGAATTCAACGGTAAACGTACTTAAACGCACTTTTAACGCACGAAATAATTCAAACGCACTTTACGTACTTTTCCCGAAAAATTGACGCACGAACCAACTATGATAAAAAGTAAAGCTCAAAGAAAACGTTTAAACAAATCTTGACAGCGGGTATTTACTATTTAAGTTAATGTTTTATATCTATAGATGTATGTGATTTAATATCAAATGAATCCAGGTCGATTGATTCCTAGGACGTACTGACATCGTGCCGCCACGTTTTTTACTTTGATTGACCATTGTCAAAAGTGTTCATGGCTAGAAAAAACGTAAAGTTAAAAGAAAACGTTTAAGCAAACTCTTGACAACAGGCTGCAGCGTATAATTTATTTGTATACCAAAGTAAAAGTAAAGACTGTTAATGGTACCATATGTCATATAGTCTCTGGTAATGGTGTTTATTGTTTTTACCTCCATCATTCAAAGGGTTAGATTTGATTGTAATTATGTAAACCGAAACGGTGCTCGGGTGGTTTAATCTTAACAAATATATTATACAAATAATGATTGTTTTTACCTCCATTATTCAAAGGGTTAGATTTGATTGTAAACCGAAACGGTGCTCGGGTGGTTCTAATGACCAAGTTTAATCTTAACAAATATATAATACAAATAATGATTGTTTCTACCTCCATTATTCAAAGGGTTAGATTTGATTGTAAACCGAAACGGTGCTCGGGTGGTTCTAATGACCAAGTTTAATCTTAACAAATATATAATACAAATATTAATAATCCCTCACAAGGGCACTGCACTTGCACTCTTAAAAGGAAGAAACTTAAGAAGAAGCCGGTTTCGTACAAATGCATAAAATGTATCATTGGTAGTTAATTTGAACTAATGAAATAAATGAAAAATGTATGACAATCGCGGCAATGGAAGTGAAAACATGCTACGATTGTGAAAATAATCATCAATAATGATGCATTTAGAAAACACATTCCTTATCGAACATAATTGTCACGGACAAGTTTTTTGCGGACCAAATTTTTCACGGACATAATTATTCACGCTAATGACCACGCTATAGAATTAGAATGTGACTGAGGAGTGATTATATTTGTCCTAGTATAGTATTAGTTATACTAATAAGCTAATATAGTAATCGGCTAAACACATATCTAAATTATCTATGCATATGTAGGGACACACACACTAAAATTAATGGAAATAATTACCAAATTTTATTATTCACGGACCTTAATGCCACAGACATTATTTTCACGGACATGATTATTCACGCTAAGGTCTTCAGCGTGAAAGTAATGTCCGTGATAATTTATATGACCGATAAGGTATGTAGTTAAAAATTGATAAAACGAGTATCAATTTTAACCTAACATTAAAATTCTTTCATCGCACGTCAACTATATAATAAATTCAAGTTTACATATTTTACCCTGTCTCGGCATTGTGCGAATTTATAATTCATGATCAAGACCGAGGTGTGATTTACAAAAAGTTTAATATGTTGCCAAGAAGTTTTACCTGAATACCATACAGTGTCAAGTATAAGCCAAAATTTAGTCAGACTTAACATTTCTACATGCTACAGAGTCAGAAGTTATCGGACGCAACAAATACGAGACCTTATTCTAGTGAGATACTACTTACCTTGGGTTCCTTGAGCTGAATCAGCTAAATTATAGATCTGATCTCACCTGTCAAGATATTATCGAGTATCTCCACTGCCAGGCGCCAACGCGTAGATATAGCAGTTGATAAATAGTTGATAAATAGTTGTTAAATTGTTAATAAATAGCTGACAATTAGTTGATAAATACAACTACAAATTATTAACTCTTGCTACCAGCCCATTGAGGTCGTTCACATATTACGTAATCAGCCGAGGGGGAGGGGGTTTCCAAATGATTACGCTATAACTTATAAGTGTAATTTTGACACAATATAGCTAGCTATGTGTAAAAATGATTACGCTAGTGTTATTTTAACACAATAGCTATGTGTAAAAATGATTACGGAGGGGGAGGGCGGTTAAAAATTGACCAAAAATTAATTACGTAATATGTGAACGGCCCCATTCCAACAGAGAATTTTCGTTTACCCCGGTGTAACTGTAACCAAAAGCAGTGTTAAAGGAGTTATTAGGAGTGCGTAGCCTTAGAGCGTTAACGGGTGATACTCGTAAAATATTTGTTTCAAATATTAGACAAGACCGTCGACGAGTCGAACTCGGCGCGCGTCTAGTTGATACATGATAGGCTATTAATTATAAACCTACAAGTACAACGTAGAACGCTATCAAGCTGTTAGTGCAAGTGTTATGTACTGCCTTGAACTTGTTCAGGGTATATATCGTCTTTACTCTTCATTTTAGTGGTACAACTACAATACTGTAAGTGACACTGTTGACTGTATAGTTATTGGTTATAATTATATACTTAAAAGTTTTGAACACCATTATTTGGTTTTTCATGAGTTTGAGGATAATGACGAGCAGGCAAAGACAGTTAAAATTATATATTTTAATTTATTAAGGAAAATCTTTTTTTCTCTCCTTCAAAGAATTATAAAAACACCTATGAGAAAAAATGACTAAATCTTACTAATGAACCGTAAAATCAGAATGAAAAATGATATAACTGTAAAAAATGATATAACTAAAGTAGGCGCCGCCACTAATGATAAAATAACAACTGTCTTATAATACTCTCGCCGCCACTAATGATAAAATAACAACTGTATCATATCTTTAACAGTCTTACTCTTAGTTTCAACCTGGTTTAACACTAAAAATGAAATATGATATCACACAGTTTTTGCAGTAATATTCTGATCCTTATCTCAGATCGGTATAATATGTTAGCTCAAGCTGTATTAGCAGTGTTTGATATTTATTCTTTTATTTACTGTAAAAATTGAAATAGTTGGCAAACTAAAAGTTTAAGTTTGGAAATATGTGTCGGTCGGTACTGTGTCTCTCTCTCTGATTTACATCTTACATGGTTTAACTTAAAGACATGGTTTAACTTAAAGGAAAGCGTAGCCGTACTCGGTACAAAATGAACAATAGGAACACTAGAAGTATGGACACGAGTCTAGAAGTTGAAACACCCCCAGCAGGGCCCAGTGCGGGATGATAATTAATCACTCTACACTCGACTGTCACGTGACTTTTTCAACCCGTTCTCTAGCTGGCCTTGAACGACTATTCGAAACCCTAACCCTCTTATCTGATCCCAACCCTAACCCTAACCCAATCCTTAACAAAAGCATATGCTGAAACCCTAACCCTAACGAGAAATTAGACTAACTTCCTTATACGGTCATATCACGTGATCGAGACAGTTTTTCGCCTATATCTCGTCAGGGGAGCATTTTAACCCTATGTCATGGGGGGGGGGTGATTCGGAATCAGCGTCCGAAAATACATCGATTGAAGTTGGTTTCAACTGTCGGGGGCCTTTTTAGAACAATCTCGAAGATCGACTGTAGAGTGATTTAGTACGTCTCCCCAGTGCGTACTTGGTGACCCGATGGGATGTCGTGTGGCTATTCTAATTGGAGTTGGTATAAGTTCTGATAGATACAAAATGAACGTTTGGTTATAAAGTTAAACTTGACTGTTTGCTCGATTGGCGTTACCTCAGCTATATGAGCAAAACCATCAACTTGTAAAGTTGTAATGTTGTACCAACACAAAATAATTCAACTGAAACCGTGCATGTTACCGTATGTATTTCAAACAACTGGACTAATTACTATTTTTATCCGTTAAAACTATTTTCATCTACAGCTAGGAATTTGCACCGGAGAGGCACGTTTAAGAGAAGTTAATTATCTTAATCTATAGTATAAGTATAACACACGACAAAAACAAACTCGGTTTTTTTAATTCGCACCATCAAAATTTAATACAAACGGCGTCAAGATTTAACAGGGAATTTTTATAAATTGATACTCATACGGCGAAAACCATATAATAATATAATTATAAATGACGAAGCTTTATCATTTTTATGTTACAGACAATGACATGAGACAACACAAACCACGATATTATTATTAACCAGTTTGGTCGGTGGTAGTTTTTACCACAAATGTTGACGCGATTGCCGGTTAAGTTATTACGCTTTTATTGTCGTCGTATTAAGTTAAACAAAGTCCATTTATTAACTGTAAATTTTTGTGGTAACCAGCACGATTCCTGGATCCTAATGATTCTTTGTTGGACTAATGATTTGTTGGTGTCGAGAATTCGTTTCATTTCAACCTCAAAATCAAAATCTGTGAATAATCGTTTTTTAACTACTTTAATTGGCATTATGAGTAGGAATTCACGTTTTGGATTATTCTTAATTTTATTTGCTACCCTTTTTATTACATTTATAGTGGGTGTTATAGTAATGTGAACTAAATTGACAGTTTGAAGGCCGCAAGTAAAGTAATCGAACGGCTCCATAGCCTCTCTCTACGCCGGACCTTCGGTGAACTTAGCCTGAGGTCCCCAGATGAACGTAAATTTTGATATTTTTCTAGATCTCAAAATGAAATGAACGGTTAAAGGATAATTAAAAACATTTAAATTATAGGAACATAACATCAACAATGAAAATGTAACCTATAAACTTTTTGACAGGGTGAAAACAATACAATATATGTCACAAATATACAGTAAAATCCAACTGTGAATATCATGACAAAATAAACAATGAGGGTTCATATAAAATACAGAACAATAAAAGAATACTACAACCGCATCTTCAAACTTAAAACCCTAGTTTCACCTTTTTTGAAAACATGCTTATTAAAACAAACAAATAACTTTATAAAATTTAAAGCTGAAGGACTGACACTAATATCTAATAATTGCCAACCAGCCGACAGATTATTCGCAGCTGCATGTACTACAAAAATATTGTTTTAATAATTGAGGTCACCATGGACATATTAAAAATAAGCCTAATCCCCCTAAGATTTGTTGAGCCTTGCAATCGGATGAACCGCATAATAATATTGCTGAAAATATGAACATACAAAAACTTTTTATCCAGCCATTTCATCATCATGCAATAATCATAAACTCTTTTCAAGAGCGAAACTCAAACACAGAAAAATAAATGCCAGCAGTTGGAAACAAAACAAAATGTCTTAGCATCTTTATCTCTTATCTCACAATATAAGTTAAAATGGGGACCATGCACGGACTTGTGTCTCTTATTTGGCTGGAGTAACAGCCACGGTATCTCTCTCTGGCACTGTCACTGAAACCAGACCTCAGAGACCAGTCCTCAGTCAGTCTTAACATTTCCTGAAATCATAAGCTACGCTACGAATTCTCTTTTGTCCTTTATTCCAGTACCAGCTCGTGCAGCTCGCGCGTAATCTTCTTCAACGAAGATAAGTTAAATTTTCCTCACTGTCTCTTCATTTCCTCCTCTTCCTCCTCTTAATCTTCTTAACCCTCCGAGTATTGTTATTGTTCAGCTTCTGGTAGTGGTAGCACATGTTGGCTGTCTCGAACTCCTCCAAGTAGTTGGTGACGGGTTTGGGGCAGGACACGGTGGCTACACACGAATTGTAGGTCGGACACCAGCCACAGTATGGGTCACGTGATGCCACGCACGAGTTACAGTCGTTGAACCGCTTGCACTGCGAGATGGGGATACGGAGCAGGTAGTCTGGTCCGCTAGCTAGCACGTAGTTCTGAAAATAGTAACGGTTAGTTTACAGGTTTTCTGAGAATAGTAACGGTTAGTTTACAGGTTTTCTGAGAATAGTAACGGTTAGTTTACAGGTTTTCTGGAAATAGTAAAGGTTAGTTTACAGGTTTTCTGAAAATAGTAACGGTTAGTTTACAGGTTTTCTGAAAATAGTAACGGTTAGTTTACTGGTTTTCTGAGAATAGTAACGGTTAGTTTACAGGTTTTCTGAAAATAGTACGTATTACAGGTTTTCTGAAAATAGTAACGGTTAGTTTACAGGTTTTCTGAAAATAGTAACGGTTAGGTTACAGGTTTTCTGAGAATAGTAACGGTTAGGTTACAGGTTTTCTGAGAATAGTAACGGTTAGTTTACAGGCTTTCCCGTTCGTCTAGTGGGTTGATTAATGATAATGCATTATATAATCTTGAACCTCCGTCTTCAATCTTAATAAAAGCTCAATTATTTTGTGGTCATTGACATTCCAATTCACTTTCCATGGAAAGTGAACACAATTGATTTGGGAGTTAGTGGTATCGTATTTATGCCAGTTTTACTTTTAGATATCTCATACCAATAGCGGTACTAATTGATTGTAGTCCGTAGAATCACGGATTTCCAAGATGACTTGAATGATTTCTCGCTTAATATAACAAAGGTTATTGATTCTGTTCAATGGCAGTCCCTGGTACGATGTTTAAGGTTTGAATGCATGAGAGTAAAAATGTGTCCAACTGCCTCGCTGAGGTGCAGTACTAAATTTTAAATTCCCTTGAATTTGAAGTCAGTTAATAAGATTACCTCAGGACTGGTCGAAGGTTTTAACCGTGGTCTATCAATGTCAACTCAATTTAAGAAGTGTACCGGTAGTTTTATCTACTTAAGAAGGGCGGACCATGAGAATTGATAAAGAGCCGTTTGTCGCAGTGTGTGTGACAGGAGATAATGAAAGAAACTCGCCGTATCTTAAATCGATGAGAGGATGGCTATTTTTAGAAAATTGCTCCCTTTTAAAACTTTGAACAAATCAAATTGGCGAGGACACATGCTTTAAATCCTGGAAACTTTTAAAAAGAGCGAGTAGTCAACCGCAATAACATATTCTCAGTAATTGCTGCCGGGTCAATAACTTTGACGATTGATGATTCGCAGAATTTGGCGTACAAATGTCAAAGAGTTGAGTTCAAAGAAATTCTTTAAATTCAAAAATTCGCTGTAGAAAATTGTAGGTCCAATCACCATTAGTCTATCTCAGTATAGCACGGTATTTGAAACCCAATCCTGCTCTAAACGCAAACTAAGCTATCTTGAACTTTAGTTTTCAGGAAATTTCATCCTTCACCCTGTACGTCTACCATCTTAATCCTTAAAAGGGATCAGACATAAGTCGGATTGTAAGCTCGACTGTTATTGCAAGTCATGGGCCTCATTCCACAGTTAACGAGTGTTCGATCGTGATTAAAAAACGGACTAAATTGAGTCCGATATAGATGGACCTGAAGATTTGGTGAATGATGATTAGATCTTTAGTGAAAGTCCTGTATGAACGAGGAGCACTTAATTTAATCAACAACTAAAGAGGCCGACACAGACATGGAAGTGTTCCTTTTTGTCTTTACCAAGTTCCTGAGCATAGGACTAAGAAACAGGAAAGAGTACACATCTAGATCCTCCTGGGCATAGGAATAAGGAAAGAGTACAAATCTAGATCTAAACCTCTATTTTAGGATGGAGATGCGTGTCACACACCCCTCACTTCTCAAAATACGAAGCTTTATCTGACAAGGTTTTGAAGATCCGTCATCTAGCTAAGATTAAGCCAAATATTCCAAGTGATGCACATGTAAGGTTTTCGCGCAATTATCATAACCCTGATGATCTGAAATCATGTCATCGACACTTTAAAAGTTCTGAATAAATTCTAATAACCTGACTAAGTCTCACGAACAAGCTAATAGCGAGACAGAGAACAATGATTTTACAAGTGGCTGCACACATTCCCACATTCCTCCCCACATTCCCCAGGTTGCACTCCAATAATGGTGAGACGGAGGGCACTGCTGATAATGCCATGTCACACCAGATCTCTCCACTCTCATACAGATCTCATCTCTTTTAAACAACTTTTTAAATCTGTCACTAAACACTAAGCTCCTTCTCCGAGGTATAATAAATCAGGGGGCTGTTGCTAACCAGATCCCCTCGCTCGTACCCTGCTAAATCAATCGGCATGCAACATATACTTTATTCAATTAATATGTTGTGTACACGCAAAGCGTTTAGCGGGTTTATGGGGGAGATGTTCTCACATTTACAGCTACCTTACAGCTATACAAGGTAGCTGTTACCTTGTATAGTGTATTATACTGCCCTACTATAAAAGGTGGTCAGGGAAAAGTAAGGGTGTCCGGACCTGGTGACAGAGCGTCTGGGACTAAGGTTACGTCACCGATTTTACTAGAAGTTAGGGCTGCCCGGAAATAAGTGTGAAGTATCAATAGCCCTGATTACCGTAACGGTAGCTACTGATTAAATGGAATTACCCACTTTAGATCATAGTTTCAAAGATAGTGTAAAATATTTGTGTCTCCCAACTTGGAGGATTATCTAACGATACTTTAATGTGAAGTATTATTAAATAGGAATTATTTACACGAATATAAACATTGTATGAGCGAATCATGTAGATGAGCCTGAGGCAATTTATCAGGGGAATATCCACCAAATCTGATCTGATTCAATCCCTAATCCAAAGTATGGTGTGACGAAGGATCAGCCATATGAATTGGTTTGCTGACCAAAGTGACAAACTGTGCGTCTAAAAGTTCAAATAACTTCCTGATTATTCAACCGATACTGTCTACCAGTGTAACACAGCCGTATTATACCGTATTATAGCCGTATTACTATTACACAGCCGTATTACACAGCCACCGTCTGCATACCCTTCAATCAGTCATCTCGTTACATACATCACTCGGATTGGAGAATTTATGTTTCATTCTCGTATGGTGAGCTTATGTGAAAGTTTTAGAAGACATTTGGGATTTACAAATTAAGTAGGAGACAGAAAGCAGTTAAATCTACATAATGTTGTTAAGTTGGTAGATGGAGTTTGGGGTTTTAAACTTGCAGAGCCGGAGTTGAGGTGATAATAATGGAGTACTACGGTTACGGATCTTTATAAACTCGTTAGGGAAATCAACTTATAGTAAACCACGGTGTGCTGGTACTAATATTCTGGTAACCATAACTATTTTAAACATTACATTCCATTACCTTACACATACTGATAGCTGCTTATAATACCTAAAATTAGGACCTCGCTGATATCCGCAATAAAAAGTTAGTCTAGGTTAATCTACTTCTTTTTATTTTTCTACCACAATTTGGCCCATATTCCTTTTTTTTCGGATTTAAAATCGAACACCTCAAACAAGATTCGTTGTTGGTAGCACTGTGTTTGCACTCTTCACTTTCGATGACAACACCGATAAGTGAATTTGTAAGGTTTCCTAACAAGCCTGCTGCACTACTGCTGCACTATAAAGACTTGGATACAAGCCAGAAAATACCGACTATATCCCGGAGAGTTGTTTAAAACTCATCTTGCACTTGCCACTAATCCTAATAAGTGGAAACGGGTTAATTTCTTGTTTGAACTACCCCCTAAAGTGAATCCTTAATCTAAAGTCTCTTGTCTGAATAGTGCGGACATTCGAGGACAACATTTTTCACAAGTCACTTGAAGTCACAATACTAGAGTCACGAGCTGCCGGACCGGCATCCTTCAGGAATTTAACGCAACTTTTTGATGACAGCCAAAAATAACACCATACTATAATCGACATGATGCTGCTGGCTGCTGCACCGATTTAAAATGATTATTTATGCTCATTAGTTACATAAAACAACCACGTACTAGTATATATAATAGTATTATTATACTCAGAGACCCAGGCTTTTTATAGCTTAATTTGATATTTATGATAATTCTATTTTGTAATTATATTAAGGAAGATGAGGTTTTCAGTAACAATGATCACGGCGACCGTCGTATTGAATACTTATTAAAATCATCAGTGTTATATACTTAGTACCATCACTTATGTTCGGTTAGTAAAAGCCTTTTTTCCTTCATTGACGGTGACCGTATCGAGGGGAATATTGCCCCAATTTTAATTAGATACAGAAAAGTAATTTTTTGCAGACGAGGGGTAGAAAATGAGATTCACGGAAGAACGACTCGAGCTGGTTTACGGAGATAACAAGGTTTAGTTGTGTTTTGATTTGCAGTAACGAGGTTATTTAACGGAATCAAAACCCAATTATCAGTACACTGTAACTTATAGTATTGATGTTAGTATTTGTAACTGTCACCATGACTACGCTCTAAATACTAAATCATCTCCTTAACTTACTCTACGAGTAGTACTAACAATCATCCCCACAATCTAATCGCGTACAGTTCGGTCTCCCATCAAAATAGTCTATGACACCACTAAAACCAATTCGAGGGAAATTACCCAAATTAGCACGATTTCTATCCGTGAGGTGCACATCCCACATATACTGGAGGCGAGGTCGAAATTGAGACTGTCATCATAAAGGAGGCTGTTAGTGGACCGAGCTTTATCTGGGACCGGACCACTTTATTACAGTATCAAAATCATCTAACGTTGTTAACTTTGTTATCGGGACCCTTTTAAAATGTGAAACCTCCCTAATTCGATAAACGGGTGCGATACTTGTATGTTATCCCTCTAAATCGTGAATATGTCAGTCTAATAAATTGTTCAAATTCCAGATGTTTGGAGCATGTTTTGGGGAACTCTGGGGGAAGATGTTTTCAAGATGCCTGAAAACTGCAATTAAGAAAGAAGCGCTATATGGGCGTATCAGAATCAACGTACCGTGGAGGCTTATCAATATGCAATTTTAAAATTCAGGAAAAAAGCGTTTATCTTCGGTGACTGTTCATTTCATTATCCCTTTGTTTTGAAGTTTTTGATGGGTAAATTGTTAGAAAATCAAATTTGACTGTTTAAAATGTGATTTGATTGTTAAAGTGTAACTCGAGACAGCGCTTGGGTCTTCGCATTCTCTAGAAAATGAGCCTGGAAATTAACCAAGCATTTCTCAAACATGCGAACAGCTGACTTAAACTGAGACCCGACCACAAAATGACCAAACTTACACAATAAGATTAAAATTCCTGGCGATATATGATTTGATACTTATAATAAGGCACTTACAGCATTTGGCGCGACCACAATCTTGGTGATGGGGTTCGTCTCCTTACGGACCCTGAAGGAGTCGACTTGGTATGCAACTCCGCCGTTCACTGCCATCTTGATAAACGTCATGTCATCTGAAAACAGAATTATTTTCAAGGGCTCTGTAACACCAGGTTATTCTTACAATTAACGAGTTTTAAGGAAGTCTTGAGACGTGCCAGAATTTAGCAATTTTAGAAAGTTGCAAGAAATAGACTTTCTAAAAAAGTGTTAAAAAATATGGTCCTTGCTTCTATATGCTGTGGAGTGTAGACTATTCGCCGACTTTTGCATGGTGTTACCAACGTTGTTAAAGGAAAATGAATGATTTAATAGAAAACAACGCAGCACAAGTCCTACAGTTTCACTGAACAGTGAACTGTGGATATTCACAGTCTGGAAAGCGTGCCGGATCACGTCCCGTAACCACAACAAGGCTACATTTCACAGAATTACTCAAGCAGAAAATATAACGTTTGCAAATAATCCTCGATTTAATAAAAGCGTCAGAATGTGAGTGGAATGGAGGACAGGGGCCCTCATTGACGTGTAAAGGGCAGGATTTGTAGACTGCACATATTTTAGCCACCTATTCGCGAGAATTTGAAAGTTTAAATGTCTACTTCTAATTTTTAGTAACAAAAAATGTCCTAAAGTTTGAGTGAGCCAGGTTTTACAACGTACGTTGTTTTTAAACTTAACAGTAGAAATATTCAAGTTTTCTTGCAAGTTTAGCGAGCCCATTAAGGGGAGATACACCAAAACCGTTTTTGCTCCGAACATCGATTTTATTTTATATTATTTTTAAATAGACAAAAAAATAAGATTGTACACCTTCAAACATTTTTAAAAATATTCCCTCATCGAGAAAAAAAATATTTTTCTTTTTCGAAAATTTTTAAAATTTGGAGAAGTCTGTCACTGTAATACCGATAGTTCGGCCATTTAAAAAGTTTTTTGGCTGATTGTTTTACTGAACATTACTTACACTCCGTACTAGAAGCCATTGAAAGGATTATATAATTGAACAATAAATGACCAAGTTACAGACCGAACAAGGTGAAAAAAGAAAAATTGGGATTTTTGCCTACCACCAAAGTTGTACATTTCACCACCCGCCCAGGTCATCAGATATCGCTTCAAAAATTCTTGTGAGTGTAGTTGATGATCATGGCAAGCTTTTCGGAACCGGATTTCTCTCAATTTTGAGTTTTAAGCTATGCAATGTGGCCTCAAACGACTTAGTAAAATTCATCGTAAAAAAGGGCAAAAAAGGCAGATTTAAGGCTTAAAATGCCTATAACTCAAAAAGTGTCAGTTTTTTTGAAATAATTTTTACAGGATCGTAATCAGCTTGGTAAGACGAATCTTTTAGTACGACATTTATAATATTCAAAGCCACAAAATTTGTAAAAAAATGTGTACAATTTGTACAAAATTTATACAAGGGGGGACCCTTGTGTTCGAGCTAGAAAATTATTTAAGACAATTTGTCTTCTAAAAGCACCTATTTGGTACTAAAAGATTCGTCTTACCAAGCTGATTACGATCCTGTAAAAATTATTTCAAAAAACCTGATAATTTTTGAGTTATAGGCATTTTAAGCCTTAAATCTGCCTTTTTTGCCCTTTTTTACGATGAATTTTACTAAGTCGTTTGAGGCCACATTGCATAGCTTAAAACTCAAAATTGAGAGAAATCCGGTTCCAAAAAGCTTGCCATGATCATCAAATACACTCACAAGAATTTTTGAAGCGATATCTGATGACCTGGGCGGGTGGTGAAATGTACAACTTTGGTGGTAGGCAAAAATCCCAATTTTTCTTTTTTCACCTTGTTCGGTCTGTAACTTGGTCATTTATTGTTCAATTATATAATCCTTTCAATGGCTTCTAGTACGGAGTGTAAGTAATGTTCAGTAAAACAATCAGCCAAAAAACTTTTTAAATGGCCGAACTATCGGTATTACAGTGACAGACTTCTCCAAATTTTAAAAATTTTCGAAAAAGAAAAATATTTTTTTTCTCGATGAGGGAATATTTTTAAAAATGTTTGAAGGTGTACAATCTTATTTTTTTGTCTATTTAAAAATAATATAAAATAAAATCGATGTTCGGAGCAAAAACGGTTTTGGTGTATCTCCCCTTAAGTTTACACAACATGAGGAATGAAAACAAATAAACCAGCGGCACGCGATCTCTCACGGCACGCCATCTCCCCATCACAGCTAAACACAGGGATCACTCACCAGTAGCGATGAAGAGAACGTCAATACCGTTGATCCTATCAGCAGCAATAGCAGTGTATCTCCTACACTGGGCTGTGTTCAGGGGCCCATCATGGGTATGTTTCACTGGATCTCTGAGGAAGTTGTACTTGTGGGCGTCGTACAGAGACCGGGGCTGTTCGCATGATTCTGAACTGAAAATACAAGGAATTAGTTATGGGGTCAGTGAGGGGTACTGATGATTTTATATCTATAGATTAATTTTGCTTCAGTTGCCCTGCAGCCGTATTGTTACAGGGCCGGGTCAACCGCCAACCGGCAAATAACGAGAGCCGTCAGCGAGGCTTAACCCTGACAAAAAAGTACTGAGTTTCGAACCCACAACCTCCCTCTAGAGACTTGAAACGAGAGGGTTCTAGCCACTGAGCTACCCGAAGCATCAACCAGGCTCACTGAATATGAGGGGTTCTAGACAAGTGTCTACTTTATATCTAGTAGAAAATATCGATACTTAATATACTATTGTTTGTGTCATCTGGTGCCATCGCATATGGATTGTTAATCGTGCAAGGAAACTAAACTCGGTTAATTATACTTATCATACTTATAAATATAAATAATTGTCTCGGAGTCAAAAACAGACAGGCATATCATGTAATGACTTATCTTAATTAAGTATGAAGCCTTCGAACTAGATAGGCTAGGTGTGAATTAGTAGGTTGAATGGATAGATTGCCAAAAAAAACAATGTTTACTCTTCAGAATGTGCTAGAAAATATTTGCTCTCTATGTCCAGTCTCCAGCTGTTTAAACGTTTATTTTTTGACGGCCACAAAAAATTCCACAATTTCATAAAGCGGATTTTACCTAAAAAGGAGATTTCAAAGATTAGTTTTCGACTCGCCTAATTTGAAGTGACTTGTTATAATGTTCTATAATGTTATATTCGTGTCGCAGTAAATTCAATTTTGTCGCTGATCTTGCAATGAACAAAAAAAGTCTGCATAAAATTATGTTTCGAGCCAGAGATATAAAATTTACAGGACTAATTTACAGGACTAATTTACAGGACTAATCACACGGCCTAATTTAAAATCAAGGGACGATTTAAAGGCCAGGTCTATCAGGTGTTTTTATCTTACTCTCCCTGGCAGTTATCCATCCTCCTAACACGTTCCCCCGGATTAGAAAAGGGATTAATGCGAGGTATTGAGTGGGTCAAGTTACTATCAAGGCCTCATTGATCTTATCTAGTTGAGTATCGTGGAAGGAGGATATTAAATTAATCAAGGTAAGTGGGGCTACTTAAGCCTATCAAGTACGGGACGGTCAGGTGGAGCCAACATTTAGAGGTGAAAGTGTGAAGTGCGTTTGCAATTTGAATTATCTGACATTTGAACCTGCAGCCGTGAGTAAAGGTGGAAGTAAACAGGAAACTAGCTGAAGCCTTATTACACTCATTTAAACTGAACGTGTGAATAAATTAAACAGTAGACTGCAGTGCTCCATTTGGAAAAGTTTAAAAAGAGTTTTCTTAAATTTATCACACTTAATAATTGTGAGAAAAATAATGCTGAGGACGCCCGCGACATCGCCACTTTAACGGAATGCCAAAAATCCTTGCTGGCTATAATTGGGCTAATTTCTCTGAAGAACTGTTGATTGACTCACTTTACAGAGGAGACTGTGTGCTGGGTGGTGGTCCCATGATCCAGACGGACGAACTTGTCCGAGGTAAAGTTGCTGTGGACGTCCGCCACGTTGTAAGCGCACACGGCTGACGCAGAGCACGGCCCGTTGGGAATGTTGGAGAAGATTGCGTACATCATCCGATCTGAAATAAAGGGGTGGTTAGGAGAAAAGATATATTACTGACGAGGGTAAATATCGGGTAGGCGTCTTTAGTTTGTGGAACAGTGGGTTAAGTTTATTATCAGATCGTTATCGGCCTGATCATCGCTTTCTTAAGTGATAAATGGACGGTTGTCTAATAATCATGCTTGTACTTTTTTATGAATAGGGCCGGATTCCAGACATATATTAGTCCAAAATTTAATTTTTAAATCATTTTATCACCGAAGGACCAAGGTTTCGGTGTCGAGAATTTTACTGATCTAGTATTACATGATTAATGGCATTAATATTTCACAATTTATTGGAGTTGAATGCAGTAACTAAGTTTGTCTGCATCACTCCATCCCAGTGAAATTAAAATCAGGGTCTTTTCATGGGATTTGGAACCAGTGAAACCATGGCTAATGGCTATACTTTTTCAAATACGGGCACAGCCCTCTGACCGCGACAACAAATATAATTCGTGATTTCGAAACGCAAAACCACTTACTTACAAAATATTCTGGTTATGCAGGGTTGATCAACCTGAGCTGATTAAGTCAAAGTTACCGATGAAAAATAGGATATTAGACCCCCGAGATTAATAATACAATATTGTGGCGTTCTGGTTGGCTATTCATGCATGTCCAGAGTTGGAGAAATGAGAATCTATCCGCATTATTATAATTATTTGGTGACATCTGCTGTCAGATTCGGCAAATTTAGTCTCGTCCCATGAAGCTAACCTAAATTTTATCGCACTTTCAATTAAACCCTGATTGAATCAGTAAAGAATTCCCGGGCCTGCCCATTTCTCTGACATTCAGGCAATGGCACGGTAAAAATACTCATTGGCACGCCGTAGATCAGGAAACATTTCTACATTTAGGACGGGAGGATGCCTAGTCCATTAATCGATTCGGAGCTAGTTCCCGGGTGAATAATTAGCCCGGCACGAATCGGACACATCTGTGGCGAGGCAACACCAGGAGTTACCTTCCAGTCAAGACTGAAATGTCTAAAATAACCGTCGGTTTGTGGACGGACAGATCGTTTCTATAATATCTGCACCTCACGCCGGACCCTTTATACGTGGTGGCAGAACAATGCTCAGATGTCAGCACTATGAGTAATGCTTCTTCTTCACCAATGTATTTCGGGTGACGCAATTATCTGATGCTACCTGGCGAATAGAGCGGACCTTGGATCGGGGTAACAATCAGGATGCAAGGATCGCTATTAGTCTCGGTCATGTGTTATTTGGAGGAGATAATCAGCTGTGAGCATGACAGGGATAACAAATAGCAATCCAACCCAAACAGGTGTGTTTATATGAGCTTATCTGATCTCATTCGCACTAATGAAGAGAAACTAGGGTGTTAAGCGGAGTTAGGAGCTGGTTTCTAGGCAGGATGCTGTGGTTAGCTATTAGTCTTATTAAATTGAGATCACATAGTGATCAGATGGTGGCAAGATGGTGTTTTGGAGAAGTCATCACCACCTGATGATGTGCTTTCTCAGTCTCTCTGAATTAAATACTTCCGTTTTTGTTGCTAGGGGTGATAATAATACCGATGATTGCTGACAGCTCGAAAGTTCTCCATTGTGAATAAAAACAGTCCCAAGGTTACAAGTGACCCTGCGACTCAGCAGTCTGGTACTATTTGGAGAAAGCTCAGCATTGCTCGGCACAAGTACTTGTAACCTTACGTTTTGTGAAGAGAAAAAAACTAACAAATAACCTGACACGACTAATGACCCACAATGACCCATTGTAAAAGTGACCAGAAATTGATTTACTGGGTGTTTTTTTTAGAAACTCAGTCGTTGTGATCTAATAGAATAAATAAAGTAGCCATGGTACTTACCAGCTCTGCTTGGATCGGTGAGGCTGTCGTGGGGCATGGCTACACCGTCTATAAAGTTGTACGAATAGTCGGGAACTCCGGACATTGTACTGGGTGATGTACACGAGATCGTCGCCTTGGTGAACGTCCGGAAATGTTTGTGAAGGAGCAGCCTGAAAATTTGTAGAGTTAGCACAGTCTAGTTTCTCACATTATCTCTCCCGAGATACGCTATTCACACTTATACTTTTTGTGTCTCCACAACCCACCCCCGAAGGGAAGGTTCATAAATTTGTAGCTGCTCTGTAAATATTTTAATTTTAGAAGATATGAACCTTCCAGCAGCTCGTTCTAGTAAAATCTAAAACGGATCAAGACTATTCTTCAGGTGAGTTAGTGAGTACAATTATAGAATTAAGAGTTAACGGATTCTATCAAGACAGGACATTATAACTTGTGGGGGTGGGTGGGATTATTTAGTGTCGTTAAATAAAAGTGTGAGATACGAATGAAGACTTGAATACCGCTTGGACGACCCACAGTCTGGTTAGACCTCAAGTTGACAGGAAATGTGATGAACATACCATCAATTACCACCAAGGTCCGTTATTGTCCATTTAATTAAAGTGTCTGTATGAAGAGCAGGCATATATTCACCTGAAATTGTAATCAAATTCGGTCGGCAGACAAACCGGACACACAATACGTACTGTTTTGCCAAAGACCAAGTTTCACCTTACTTCTGCAACACTTTTAAAATAGTTGCAAACGTGATCAATTTATCCTCCGTATATATCAATATGCACCCAGTGATAGAAATTATAATCGTATCACAAAATTGCACTAATTTTCTGATAGATGTTTCTGCAAACTTTCCTGTCATGATTTTCTGTCGCTAAGCGCTCAAACAAAGCCCATCAAACAAAAAGTGAGCGGTGATGAAGGCAGAAAGATTGAGAAATGTCCAATGTGTCATGAACGATGAATACCGATTCATCGCTAAAAAGTATATTTTACCGGTATCTTCCAGTCTAGGGACAGCGACAAGATAAATAATTACAGCTATCTGCATGGCCGGATTGGTAGCACGGAAGTAACCGTAAAGTCTCAGTATTAAGGGAAGATAGCCTCGCTTCAACTGTGCCTCCCGGCCTTGGTGCCCTACTTCTGTATTTAGTTTGATAGCAGACCTCACTAACTCCTATCTAATTTAATGTGGGCTGCTGTTAGAAGCACGCCTCCCCACGGCAAGGAAAGTGGTATTATGGCGCCAACTATTCAGGTATCATTGGTTATCTTGTTCTAGACTATACAGGAACCGGTAACAACTCTACCCGCGAAGTTTACATGACAACAGTAATTTGTATCTTCGATCAAGAAATAAATAGACATTTAGGATCCGATGTAAAAGGGAGGACACCCGGTGCCGAGCTTTCGAGAATCGTAAATATCAGAATATTAGGCTGCAAATCAAGAATTTCAAGATACCGTTAGTTTACTACAGGAATGTGAGTGGAGGGGTTAATCTTCATGTTTATCACTGTTTTTATCTTGAAGACTCCCTATCTTATGACCCCCCCCACCCCCCCCCCCCCCCCCCCCCCCCCCGGATAAGGTCAAGATATAGGAAATACTGATCATTAAGATAAGGAGATACCATGAACATTAAAAAAGTGCATTAACGTGAGATCTGGGGCTACCACAGCACCCAATTGTAATACCTGATATAGTAGTGTAATATACTGATACAAATCTGTTCCAGGGTTAGTACAGCGCTATATTGAGTTTAGATAGGAGATGTATTAGCTTCTATAGAAATAAACATACGAGTTGATAATGTATATCTAGTGTTATTATTGGTTTACCTTAGAAACTGAGACACCTTAGAGAGACCTATAAACTTTAAGACATGATATCTAAAAAGGTAGACACATCATTTCTCAAAATCTGTCATTCTAATTGTCCTTCTGCTGAGCTGGGACAAAAAATTGACACCAAAAGTCTCGAAGCGCGAACCCTGGAAAAAAAGGTAAGACTGTCTGGAGGAAGAGGACAAAGTTAGAGCTCTCTCTCTCTCCTTCATAACCACACAGTCTGCCAGGAGTCCTGTTTGGATAAAACTACCACTCTCCATCCTGGGTCTCCCAGCTCGTGAGTATAAGACAAACAAGCAGGACCCCACCCACCAGCTGAGGGTGGGGACTGGTTGGAGACTCCCCGGTGGGAGAGGGTGGAGACCACAGCCTGGATCATACCCGGAACAGCAGTTTAGTGAGATATTGTTGTCAATTGCAAGACTGATAGATAGTTCTAATAAACCTGAATTGTGGAATATCTTGTCTGCTTTGATCGCTGCTTACAACGCCAGCCCCTTAGCTCTACATAGTTTAATTAATGTTTATTTTCGTTGGAGGAATTATTAATTATGCTTGACTTGAGATATTTGTACCGTCAGGGAGTAGGCATAATAGAATATGTAGCACGTTGTACAGAACACGGTAAACTGGGGTGAAGGCGAGGTGAAGTGAGACAGTCTAATAATTGTTAAGAATGTAGTTAACTGTGTTAAACACGTCTGGTTTGGAACATCTCTCCTGAATTTCCACATTGTGCCCACAAACACTGCTACCATAAATACCAAGTAAGGCTTCTTCAAGTGCAAGGAAACTGGTTTACATACTTGATAAACTTCACCCGATGTGCTGCAGTGGGGAGGAGAGAGTATTCAGCTGAGACATCATTGTGTCAAGAATATGGCATTGTGAGTGGAATGTAGACTGAAAGGGCAGTGAATCTGACAGGATGGAAAGCTTGGTGGGTGTCTCATTGGTATGTGTCTCAAGGTGCTCAATAATTGACAGGCCACTTCTCAAATGTCTCAATTAAGGATTTAATATCGTGTCTGAAACTGGGGCGTTACCACAAATTAGGTCTTGTAGCCCCCCTATTGTGTTAGACGTTAGTGACCACATACTACAAGACGAGCACTACTTCCACCACCGTACTTCCACCCTAGGGAGGGTCCTACAGGGAGGGACCTTATTATTGTACGTGATACCACTAAAGTAAGTCTGAAGAGTCTGCCCCGTGGTGGCAGGAGAGGAACACAAGATATACTCGTGCTGTAATTAAACTAAATTAAATAGCAAGCAGGAAAGTTAGATCAGGGCTGTGATGCTTGTTTGTAGTCGTGTGGATCATGTGAAACAGTGTGATACTGTAACTTACTGTAACTGTCACGTGTTACATGTCAGCTTGCTGGAGAGCAGCAGGCTGCAACCTGACCACCCAAGAACTGCAACTTTAACAATCAGGAACTTCGGAATTACTGTCTGCCGACAATATTTCAACCGGCAGACTTGAAAACAGTTTGAAACGGGGTTTATAATTCCTGAATTCTACATTAATTTGGTGTCCGGAGATGCCAGACAGGTATGCAGACTTGGCGATGGAGTAATTTCTCTCCGCTTCAAATATTTACGTAGTGATATTTACGTGGTCAACATTAAATTGTCTAAAATGACGCTCAGATGATGACCCAGAAAAATGGAACAAGTTTAGAACTTTAGGACTTCCAGAGACGAATACCACAGAAAACTCTAAAATCTTAACGAGGCAAATCTGGTATGACAAAAAATCAAGTTATGACAGAATGGTATGCTGGTTAATGAAACGTTAGAATACTTTGTAAGGTTAGAATGTTGCACAAAGAGACAGACAGCACGTAACCAACTAACTATTTGATATATTATTTATCGCCAGGATTGTTAATACTTACTCAATACTCCTACACACAAAAATAGACAGACACATAACTAGACTCGGAGGGGGGATTCTTTCAAAACATATAAATGATACGGAATGTTTTAAAATACGAATTATTTTATTAGCATATAAAATTATTAAAATATTAATTAGCAAATAAACTTACTTGTTACCGCCGGGATCTGTGAGACAGACTCTAGCTACTCTGGAAGTCAGAATGGGACTGGGGTAGTCAAATGTGAGTTCCTTATAGAACACGTACAGATGACGGTCAATTGGGATCACTGACACGAACTGGGCATCTGAGGAGGAGACAAGATGTTAGGACTTAGGGGTCCAGGGACTTATTGAGGAGGAGACAAGATGTTAGGACTTAGTGGTTCAGGGACTTATTGAGGAGGAGACAAGATGTTAGGACTTAGTGGTTCAGGGACTTATTGAGGAGGAGACAAGATGTTAGGACTTAGGGGTTCAGGGACTTATTGAGGAGGAGACAAGATGTTAGGACTTAGGGGTTCAGGGACTTATTGAGGAGGAGATAAAATGTTAGGGGTTCAGGGACTTATTGAGGAGGAGACAAGATGTTAGGACTTAGTGGTTCAGGGACTTATTGAGGAGGAGACAAGATGTTAGGACTTAGTGGTTCAGGGACTTATTGAGGAGGAGACAAGATGTTAGGACTTAGTGGTTCAGGGACTTATTGAGGAGGAGACAAGATGTTAGGACTTAGTGGTTCAGGGACTTATTGAGGAGGAGACAAGATGTTAGGACTTAGGGGTTCAGGGACTTATTGAGGAGGAGACAAGATGTTAGGACTTAGGGGTTCAGGGACTTATTGAGGAGGAGACAAGATGTTAGGACTTAGTGGTTCAGGGACTTATTGAGGAGGAGACAAGATGTTAGGACTTAGGGGTTCAGGGACTTATTGAGGAGGAGACAAGATGTTAGGACTTAGGGGTTCAGGGACTTATTGAGGAGGAGACAAGATGTTAGGACTTAGGGGTACAGGGACTTATTGAGGAGGAGATAAGGTGAATAGTCTCCAGTCAGGATTCAGGGACTTAGTGTGGTTTGTATATAACTATAAGAGGTGATGCATGAGGAATGAAGAATGGATAAACTTTAGAATTAGCTTGGTTTTCTATGAGGTATGGTGATGATTTTTAGGTGACTTCTTGGCAGTTGGTTGATTGTTTTTAAACGACATCACATGTACGTGTTAATAGTTTAATGAGTACTGAAAGCTGGCAGCTGCATTAGCAGATTCTGGCAAAGGGTGATGAGTCTGGGGATATGATGTTTGGAATTTGGGAGGGTGGGAGACGCACTACAGGTCTTCACATTCTTATGTGGTGCAAAAACCTGACAGGGAAGCCTCGAGAATGTTACCTTTAAAATTATTCTACTTTAAATTTTTGTTAAGTTCAACTATAAATTTTTCGTATAGACTAAAAGTTTGAATTTCTCAGAAAATTAAGGAATTGTAGCCAGAGACAGAAATATGATAATTTAAAAACGTAAAGATTGTAACAGCGCAAAAGGATAGCTTTAAAACAGGATCGAGAAGATTGATAAGTCTGTAAAGCGCTCGTGTTCATGGGCGACTAAAGCACCGCAGGTCCTAAACTTTCTAAACGCTAACTTTAAAACTTTATTAAAGCCAACAGTGCTTAGTTCTTTCGATTAGTGTACTGCACATTACTTAGACAACTATTAAATTTTAAAGTTTCAAGTTTGCATGGTCAACGGCTATGTCAAGTTTTTCAAGTTAAATGTACAGTTATATATGTTAAAAATACCATGTTAAGAAAGAAAGAAAAAGAAAAACACTCACTGTTGAACCACTTGTCATCCAGTTTGGTGGTAAGCTGTTTGTGCTGACTGTACATGCCCAGGATAGGGTGGGACGTGTCGTTGGTAACGTAGGAAGTGTAGTAGAACGCGTTATCTGCAGGGGGTAGGACACATGTTAATTTAACATATTGTGTTAGTTTAACATTGTTAAATTATAGTTTTCACACAAAACAATTGTTTAATAATTCACATAATTATTACGAGCCGTATTTTTTAAAGGTTCTGTAATTTGCACTGCTGGGGATGCATATTTAAATTTTGTTTAAATGGGGTGTGTTTGGAAGGGTGTGAAATCTGCAAATGTAAAACTTCAAGACAGCACAAGCATTATAAGCAGTGAGAGTTGAGCAGTGCCAGGTACAAGCAAGTAGAGACCAAACCAGAAGTTGGCGTGATTGCGCACAGGACCCCCTCATCTAGACTATTTGGAGACGGAGCAAGGATTTAGATGGAAATGTTTTGTGTAAAACGAGGGTACCACACCTCTCAAACATGCAATGGGGACCTGGTTTTAAAACTCTAATTTGGGAGGGTTGGGAGGTAGAGTGGAAGTATTTTTAAAACAAGCAGCACGAGCCAGCACGATTTAGAGCTCTCCTCTCAACACACAAGTAGGGGAAGAGGAGAAGGAGGAAGGAGGATCTTAATTTAATATTTCAGGATTTCTGGACGGTAAAACACGGAAGATTAAGCGCAAATATGCTGGAGTAAGTCGGGGCACGAGGCTTAAGATAGGTTTACTTCCGGCCATATATAACAGATAATATTAGGAAAATATATCTATACTGTCCAGTCTATCTGTTCAATCTGTAAACTCGGTTAACGTAAAGCTAGATATAGAGATATAGAGACAACTTACCGTGAACCTCAGCGAGGCTCGTGAGTCCGGGGTGGGCCGCTGAAGCGAACTGTAGAGGTCTAACTTCTCTGATGACGTTGAGGAGGCCCAGGTCTCTTATCACGCATCTGGGTCTGCCTCCGTGTGTTCCACAGGTTACACACACCTTATCTTGTTCTGCCTGGGGATAGGGTGGGGTTATGGGTCAGTTGATTTATTAACCGGTGATTTATTAGTGTGTCGGAATTGGGGATCTGAGTGTGTTTTGTGGGTTGCCACAATCACCAACACTATAATCTGGATCGTACTATTCCGGAAATTAGTGTACAAAATAAAATCAAGGATGATTGAACATGGTATGTGTTGAGCTGTTATCTGTGTGCATATTTTCAAGATTCGAAACAATTTGACGGAACTATATTTAGAAAACGCATGGTGCGATAATAACTGATTCTAATTTTCATGCTTTGTGTTTCTCAAAGTGAGCGACAAGTTTTGTTTAAAACCCCTAAACGCTGTAGTCCGGAGACAGTTAGAGCGAATTATAAACCTCCTTACATTCAATCAGTTTAATCTTTCTAACCGCTACTAGTAACGTTTACAGGAATTAAATCAATTGAGTGGATTGACAAAATGCATTATCTAGTTTTTATATTCCGGAGACGGCTAATTTGCTGCTTCTATCGTTTTATGCAGCTTAGTTTCCAATTTCCAGGCATTATTCATCTGCAGACTGCATTGACAAAACACAATAGTTCTCCATATCTTATTGTTACTAAATTCTCTGCAAAGAGTCACGTGTATTATTATCCTTTTCCTGTATGTGAGTTTGAAGGGAGTGCTACTACTATTAGTGTGGCACTGCACTGTAAGGTCAACATATCATAACATGTGACAAATTTAATGACTATTATATTCCCATTTCCCACGTTACGTTTATTGCATGTAAAATCATTTTAAAAACTGCTCAAAGGGCCTTTAAAACCCTCATGTCATGGGTAACTGAATAAAATAACTGTAGCGATATTCTTAACTAAGAAAGTATGATTGTAGTCAAATTAAAATGTCATTATATTATATAATATTTAATCATGAAACCCAGGATACATAACATGAAGACTTTGTTGTAACTTGTATGAAAAGCATGAATATATTTTATTTTTCTACGGCAATAGCTTATATTTAAAACATACTCATTAAGTTGGTAAACTTGACGAGTACATATTTATTAAAATTCGTTTATATTTTACTGCTCAAGTATCCTAATACCACCACGTTGAAGGTACACTAACTGGTGTTTTCGCTTTGATTTATGTGCGACACCCCCGGCAATTCCCTCTCCCCGGCTCCCCATGGTTCGGTATAACTCCCCAACATGCAGGGGGTGTCACAAGAATCCAGATGATTTAATTTATACGCTCCTGGTCTACTCAGACACTATATCTCCAGCTAAGCAAGAGAGCTGTCATCAATGTTCTGTCGCCGAAAAGTCTGGCGTCTAGGCGAGTTTTCATGTCTGGAGACTTGTCTCTCGCAACTTATTGTCTAGCATTTAATTATCTGGAGAGAGCCTGCTGTTCGCAACTAATTGTATGTGGGAGCGGCTGGTTTCTTTTCTCTCCGATCATATGTAAATATATCAGACGAGAAATGTGGGTATGTTGAGGGTATGTTGAGGGGGTGGAATCAGGTTAACGGTGAAACATAAGACATGAAGGGGTATTTTGGGTTTTCGGGAGGATTCGATTTCAACCGCTAGATTAAGATTATCCCATCAAATATAATAACATTTTTGTATTATAATGGTTAATCCCACTAATGTTATAGACCTACCAATAATAATGTACCGTGTAAGGCAGGTGGGCGAGGTAATACAGTACGGTTTGGTAAATGAATTGCTAACCACCAGATTACATTTTCCCTTCAAGGTTATGTCCGGGTCTGGTGGAAGAGAATTTATAACTTAAAGCAGTTTAGGTCAAGATATTTGACTGGCGAGGCTTCGTAGAAGAGCTAGCCTAATCGAGAACGAAGGTCCGATATATATATAGGAAAAAGTCTATTCTTACCATAGTTTCATTTCAATTACGAAAAAAGCAACTGTTAAACCATGTTAGACCCGGTTAAATATGCATTGATAGTGCAATATTGGAATCTTGGCATCTGTTAACAACTGGCACGGGTCAGCCCTGACACTTTATCCTGCCGTTTAACACTTGAACATACCATTGATAATATCAATGGTATGTTTCCAAAATTCTTGTCCTCCAAATATTCCTTATTTACGATAAACTTATTAATTATCGCCTCAAAAGCTAAATTATTGACACGGCAAGACGAATACCTTACCACGCCAGCTAATACCACGCCTCTAAGCTAGCCCCGAGTATCATACGCTCCAGCAATGGGAGGTGGGTTACCCATTTGTCAAATATTGACATGTCATTCTGAGCGTCATCATTCTAATCCCATAACATGCCCTCTTCTGGCATCCTGGTCAACTTTAAAGCTCCTAATTACCGATGTTATGACAAATGTAAATGTTGCCGGAGTAGGGCAATCAAATTAGGATGCAGAGAAACCCAGGTCACCACAGTCATTCATGACTTAGGATGACAAATTGAGGACGTCGGTCACTAATTGTAAGTTTTAATTTAGAGTACTCGATAGACGCCCAGTGTAAAACTTCGTGATCCTGAGGTAGACCAGAAAAGATAGACGTCTCAAAGTCGACCAAAAAATGTTAGTACTCTCAATAAATGCAAAGCCGAACTTCTCGCCATTTTTTTGCGTTTTTTGCTCAATATAATGATACCAAAGGTCTGAAATTACCACGGAAACCTGTCCGTTTGCGGTTAGAGGGGCAGGTTAAATATGACAGCTACATTTTGATAGACGACCCCTGACAACATAATTGCTCTTCATCTTGGGCGTAGGGAATATATGACAAAGATTTTGCTTTGTTTCAATTTGATTCATGACTTGATTTATCGGACAGAATGGGACAATTTTCAAATTTTCAAGATCATTTTAGGGATTTTGTCAGCAAGTCGTTAGCTTCCTGTTGAAAGGTAACGATATTGATAACGACCAAAACTTTAATTTAAGAGGTTGATATTAAGATTCTGGAGGTGATAAGATGATAAGAGTAAACAGCATAACGATCAAGTGTCATCATCATCAATTTTAGCTGAGACTTAAAACATTGCACTTCTTTGAAAGGACTCAGCCGCTGATCTCTCACCACTTATGAACAATGACTCCCATAAAGTTCTAGTTTGTTGGAAGTGGAGTATTTGACAGATTAGTGGGGTACTTATCTAATTAATTAATTAATTAACAGATCCCTTTGTATCCCGTAAACAGTCTGAAGCTGACAGACAATGGCTGTTAGGTGGATCTGAGGTGTTATTGTCAGGGAATTGTTGTCATTAGCAGGAAAACAGGTACACATTACCTAATAACGGAACCTTTTGACGTTTTATGACACATCAAGCACGGTTCATTTGTTATCAGGTGTGGTATTATTATTATCAAATGATACGTTAATGGCCATGAGAATTAGCTGTTTGTCCTTTATCGGGAGACACGATCACTGAACATATTTCTCCAAACGTCACCAACTTTTTTACTTTAAATTCTATGCTCACATATTTTTAATCCGAGAAATTCCGTCTCAAATTTCAGATTAATGGCATGAAACAAGATTTATAAACGGCATTTGAGTCTTACTACGAAATTTAAGGAATTTAAGATATCATCACCATATTCTCACCCATCTCAGCATCTGGATGGTATTATAATTTTATTAATATTATTATAATTTTAATAATCACTATTTAATAAAAGGAAAACCTAGTTTTGTGCGTAAGCTCGATCTTAAGGAGAGGACGGTATGCCTAATTAGTTTAGCATGTGTAATAATGTTTATAAACATTATTACACATGGTATATATACCATCATTATACTTATACGATAATATTATGCCATCTATCATGAGATTTAAAAGTATGTTCTCCCTCGACTCTGTGATAATTCTCCATAACTTTATCCAAATACGCCCATAAGAATCAAATTAATGGCTTGGAAGGCTGGTCGGCAATATAATTCAACGGCTGAAAACTCAGTATTTTCCCAGACTCACCCCGTTGGGTTGATTTAAAAATTAAAATGTTTAAAGTTTTAATAACATACTATAATTTTTGTGACACGGATGCTACAAGTTTGACAACTACTGACTACTGAGCAACATATTCAGTAAAACCAATATATTGAGAATTAGTGAGATTATAAGTTACTGTCCTACTGTCCTAGTGTAGCTAGCTAGAGTGTGAACTAACAACCACACACCCCCGGCCCCGTGAGATTAGACAATATTCAATTTATAGACTTAATATTTGGCTTACATTTATATAATGTGATGACTGAAAGCCTTTTTACGTGGCATCGGAAAAACCTATCGGTATTTCAATTTGGTGACCAGACAAACCTCGAGGTTTCGGTGTTTGGTGACCAGACAAACAGGATTAAAACCGGGTAAAAACTTGCTCTTCAGTCTAGTCGCCCAATTAAAACAATCAGTCCAGTTAACCAACACTTATACACCTCTACACATCACATCCTCATGCTTGTTAAAGTCTATTTTAACAGTCTAAAATGGTAGGTATTACACTGTTTACATTCGTGATACAGCGCATAAGTAAACACTAACATAATATATACTACTTGACACAGTAAAAAGTTGGCCCGACCACCATTCAGTAACTCTTGGTAGGTACATACAGATCAATAAATTAGGATTTAAGTAATCACATTTTTGGTACTTAGTCCTAAGAGTTCCTTGCCATTACGAGCATGGCTCCGGCTTTGATGTCGTATGTAATCAAGGATTATGCACATAACTTACCTCTAACATAATATTACTGAGATACTTACACTTCTTAATTCTCCCAATCGGTGTACTTTGACTCTGATAAAAATAACCTTAAAACCAGCCACCCAATATACGGGTTCAGGCCTGACTTTCCTATCTTTCCTTATATAGGGCACTGTTTGTCTAGATTAGGAGTGACGCTGTCGGGTGGGAGGGAGTGTAAGACTAAGTTTACCTGGTGACGGTGAAAAAAGGGGTGGTTGGAGGGACTACCTGATGACGCTGTGTGGAGAAGGGTTGGTTAGACTAAGTACACTCGGCTACCTGATGACGGTGGACAGGAGGGTGGTTCGTGGGATTATGCCTCGTGACGATTGTTATGATGTACCACAACATATGTCACCGTATTGTTACATCATCATATCAGCTGCACACAGCTGTGTGATTAATTGCTTCTCACTTTTGATAAGAGAGGTGATGACGTGAGATTGAGGACAACTGCCGTGTATATTCGGCAAACTTAACCTTCTGCTCATAGTATTATTATCAGAGTAAAGTGCACTGTGCACACGGACATGTTGTTTTTAGAGTTTTTACTACCTCCAAAACTTGCGGAATTTTTACACGCAAGGGAGCTCAGTGGCTGTTATGCATCATAATGTATTAATATATATTCATAAGCACACTCTTTATGAAGTGCACACTTCACCTTTACATCCTTCTATGAGTCTCATATGCAACATATTGAGAGATATTTTAATGACAAAGGGCCCGAGGGCGTTTCCGGCTGTACTCGAGTAGCTGCTAACGGTCCAACCTTGTGACGAAAGAGAACAATTGACAATCAATTGAAACCCAAACCCGATATTTTTGCCTAATTAGACAAGCATTTCTCCCATTAGGACACTAAATTATATCCGGGAAAATGTGCCACCTTCTAATCAGTCAAAGTCGGAACTCGGAGTCTGTTCTTCAACAAAAGAAAAAAGCCCAATTATTGGCACACCTGCTAAGAAACGCCCAATTTATCTCATTGCTGGTAAACAAGTGGCGTGATCCAAGCCAAAGTTTTGAAAATTTAACGTTAACCCCTCGACTCACCCCTCAGCCCCAATTGAGGATCTGCCTATTTTCAGCATACTCCCCAAATGACGAAATTTTCCAAAAAAAATCCTCAACCTCTCCCAACAGACTTCTTCTGGGATACACCTTCCTGGATCGTGCCGTAAAACGTTTCAATTTGTCAAAAACTTGCTGCCCTCATCAAATCTAGCCTGATAAAGATCCCGGCCCAAGATAGCTACTTACCTACCTGCAAGACCGTAATTTAGTAATTTTAGAATTGATGCAATTTGTAAGAACGATTAGAGTTCGGGAAATACCCCCGAGATTTGTCAGAGTTTCGGGGTAGACGACCCCAGTTGTTGGGTGAGAAAAGTGCGGTGTTATCCTGGAGACTAATGACCTCACTGGGATCGTTACTCGTTAACTGGGGGAACTAGTAGGGAACTAATAACCGGTCATAATAATAATAACACCTCCTGTGTACCATTAGAAGGGGCTAAAAACGTGTTGTGTTGGCCTGTATTGTTAGATCACTCTCAATACGGTATTAGTGAGCTGGTGGATAGCCTGATCAACGGTTTGAAAGGGGATAGGATGATTACGAGCGAGACAAATTGGTCATGCTATGTTCAGTAAATTCTAGGAAAGAGGGCTTCCTAGTTTAGCACCAGTAATAATGCGTCGGAGCTGAAGGTTTTTCATACCTCTAATAACCTTAAAATTAACAGTCCGTCGTTTCAAATATATTATACACTGAGTCTCTACACACACGCTCACCTGACCGGTTAAGTAGTATGATTGTTCCCCGGATTTAATGTAGTATGCAATTTAAGTCCATGAAAATCTAATTAAAACGTCGGAGACTCATAAAATATGTGGATTTAGTAGCATGCTCTCAAGAAGGGTGTCTCACAGTTCTATAACCCTAAACAAATTCTAACCCCAGTAACTTTGGGCTTCAGGTGGCTTCACAGATCAAAGGCTAGCCTCATTGTTCATGTTAGAGCAGATTCAGGGGTCTAAATTCATCGTGAAATGAATCGCTCAGACGTTCAATATTGGTGGTAATGAATGGAGCAAACTGGATTACATACCCAGTGATATGTGTTACTATGTTATCCGGTTGTGTGCGGGAGAGACAGGAAATTTCGGGTGTATACAGATTGGGAGCTACATTAACTGTGAGCATGTAAATACTTTTATAAACTTCCTTGGCTTGACCACATACAAGTTATAGTATTACAATAACAGCTCGACTGAGGTGAAGGTATATGTCAGATTGAAATTGTGGTGAAGTGTTGTGGAGAGGTTGGATAGCAACATATTTTGAGATTACTATGTACACGATAATGTACAAAATGGTTTAATATATATATGGTTACAAGTGTGCAGACAATATACACGATAATATGGTGATAGGAAGGTAACAAGATTAACCAGGTGAGAGGTGGAGAAAGTGAGGAAACCTGTGAATCCTCTTTTCTCGGTGAATCATTACAAGAAACTTGTGAAATGTCAAGGGATTAGAATATCTTCTGATCTAATCAACTCAAGAGGAGTTTTTCTAACGGTGTTGATAGAATGTAAATTTTTACAAAGACTGGTGACTAATAATCTGTGATTGTGATAATTTGAGAGGATGTATGTAACTTACCCCAAATATTCTGCCATCGGCTAAGATAACATGTTGAGTATAATCGCTACAGGAGTCATCTCCGAGCGGGCATTTTGAGCTCAGAACCTCAAACTGGGCAACAAATTCTCTCCGGGCGAAATGAAGCTTCAGTATCTTGCTTTTGGCTCCCAAATACACGACATTGCCGTTGGTGGCAAAGTCTCCTATAGCTGGCACATAGTTCTCCTGAAATCTGGCGTAGCGGGCACTCTCTCCGCCGTTGAATAGTTCGACAAGCAGAGTCAGGAACAAACAAAGCATAATAGAAATCGTCTGGTTAAAATAAAAGTTTTAGCAAATAGCGGTACTGAACTAGCGCATCATGAGCCGAAACGTGAGAAGGTTGGTTACAGATATAGTGTGTTTGAAGGAGGAGTGCGCGTCGCGTTATATACGTGACGTCACAGCTGACACCATGGTCACGTGATAGAGTGCGCGCAACGTGACTCGGCGGGCTATACGAAAATACACACTCGCGGCAATCTCACAGTCAGATACGCGTGTTTTAAAATAGGATTGGGAACGTATAATTGATGACGGAATGATGGGGTGGACAGGTTACTTTGTGATCGTGTTGATCGCTTCTTAAATCTTAGGTTTAAATTGAATTATGAGACCATTAGCGATAAATATGATAATCAAAGGTGAATGATATAATTATATTTTGTGATTATTTTTATTGCTTCTCTCTTGATTAATTTGTCATTTTGATAACAGTCATTGCTACAATCACAGAACACCGCATCCGCCTCGGCATAGAGACAGCGCTGACAAATTTCCTCCCTGCTATGGGAAAACTGGCACGAGACATCCGGTGTAATTATTATTATTATTATTGATTGATTTTAAGTTTAATTTAATAAGTCAAAGTGCGATCAACTGACCTTGACTGTTGACGCCCTTGAGTACGAATAAGAAACTCAAAATTCAATAAAAATAAATATCCTGCTGGTAATCTTGGGTATGTGGTGATTTCTCTCAGACTCATGAGTCATGAGTGCGAGGCCAGGTGTTGTAACTTTCCAATGGCAATTGTCAGCCGGGTTCAATGGTATACTGAATTTAAGAACCGCAGCATCAACCATGTCGTTTGTAAAGTTCAACAGCCACAAACTAAAGTCTATAATTTCATAAGTCATAAGTTTAACTGTGTGGGAGGCTAGACATGAACGTCTGCATTGATGGTGGTCCTGTATGCAGATACGCTCGCGCTTCCAAATTTATCGTTTTCCAGAAGTTATAGGGTTCAGCTCGAGAGTGTGTACTGTGTAAACATTAGCAATCTTTCAACCCACAATTACTAAGTATAATTACTATAATTACTATACTATTCATGATTTATTACTAACAGTAACAACGGTAATAAACAACTACTCGAAGACCTGGTTGAGACTTGAAAACTGGATTGATTTTGTTTTCGATCTGTAATCGAATTACTTCTCTAATATTTGTAGTTTGTATTAGCTGTTATATTAACAATAATCTTCATCATGAATTGATTCGCTTGTAACTTGTATAAGACCAAGCTTTTCGGACGTTGAGGTGGCTTTATGAAAAAACGTCCGGGTATTGGACTCTTGCACTTTCAGCTTTGCCTCCTCAAGAATTAGGAACTTTGAGAAACCAGAGTCTGGCACACACACGAATACCATAGATAAAAGGGTAATTGAAATTACGCTAAAGCAGGGTTTAAGGAGATTTACCATATAGTTTCCTTCCAAGGTCCAGTCATCAGATCGAATAATTAAGTATATATATTATTGCTATCAATTATGTATTGTTTATAAAATTGATTGATTATAAAACAACCGCACCTTTTTCTATAAAAGCTGGAGGACATTTACAGGTTTGTTTCGTTGATCCTTTCGTGGAAAAAATTTGATAATTCTTTAACAACGCTGTTGCTAAATATGGTTTTGGTTTTGAATTGCTTTGTTTTAGTTACTGTTTAATTGGCCGTGCAGCAAATTAATCCTATCGGTTTACTTTTAGCAACATATTATTAACTTTTAATTTTGGTGATGATATTTCATGGCCCTTCAGCTTTTTCCCATAATGTTTAACGGGGTAGTTAACGGGGTCACCTTATCACGTGATTAGGTAAACCAATCACCTGATCACACGTAATGAATAAACTCATTATGCTTCATATCTCGGTCATCTGAGAAGCTACAGTTCTAATTCTTTCAGGACAAACGTAATTCGAATGGCCAACACACAATTCAATAACATTTAGCTTGATCCGACTATCCAAACTATCAAATAAATTTGAAATGAACTTCTATTAGAAAAAATGAACGCGAATATTTTTCGAGTTGACAAATTCCTCGAACCAGTGGTGGTACTAAGTCATACCAGAAGGAAGTATTTAAATTGGGCACTCAGACCTCAGTGACTGAGCTATAAAGTCCAACGTATGGGTACTGACTTTTGGCCCACCCTGTATATATACCATTTAAAGCTGAAGGGCCATGAAATATAAATATATATATATACATATACAAGTATTAACCACAAAATAGCCTCTGCATTTGTGTAAGTGTAACAGACATTTATAGATATATTTTCTTTGTACGGCTTCGCATGCACCCCTTCAACCGGCCCGGGGCAGCGTCTGATAATATTTTCTGAATTTTCTTTCAGGAGACTTGATCACGGGCCGGAGGCTTGAACACTGTTGCTAATAGTAATAGTAATAAAAATACAGTTTCTTTGCAGTTGCCACCTCTTTTTAACTAAAATCTAAAAGAATATAACATTGACCACAAAGCGCAAGCTGATTGAAATTTGTACCCGTCGTTCTTTGCATAGCTCGGCCACATCAGCTGTCTTTGAGAATTAAAAGCATCGAATCTCTAATCTCTAAACTATTATAAAAAATAGTAATGCAATGACAATCTCATCGAACCGATAGTTCATTAGCAGTTGGACTATAGTTGAACTGTTGGACAACTGAGTCAACACGTGGGTAACTTTTAATTTTGCACCACGCACTGATCCAATCCTTTAATTTAAACCAATATTTCTAACGCGTTATCGGCTGGTCCAAATGTGTTCACATAACGCGGTTTTCTGGTTTTTTGAGCAAAGTTGTTCATCCCCAATCCCGTTTTTAATATTTTATTTGGAATGAACATTTTGTATCCTTATCAGTTGGAACGAAATCACCTCTTGCCATAACTGCTATCTCGATCATTTTGTTCGTATGATGGTTATATTTCAACTTCAAGCTTCCAAGATCATTTCATTAGTCAATTATGCCGCTGGCGATTAAAATCGGACCACTTTGTGTAGGTTCATACACGTTGATTTCGGTATTTAACAGTAACAGTAACAGTTACAGTAACAGTAACAGTAACAGTAACAGTAACAGTAACAGTAACAGTAACAGTAACAGTAACAGTAACAGTAACAGTAACAGTAACAGTAACAGTAACAGTAACAGTAACAGTAACAGTAACAGTAACAGTAACAGTAACAGTAACAGTAACAGTAACAGTAACAGTAACAGTAACAGTAACAGTAACAGTAACAGTAACAGTAACAGTAACAGTAACAGTAACAGTAACAGTAACAGTAACAGTAACAGTAACAGTAACAGTAACAGTAACAGTAACAGTAACAGTAACAGTAACAGTAACAGTAACAGTAACAGTAACAGTAACAGTAACAGTAACAGTAACAGTAACAGTAACAGTAACAGTAACAGTAACAGTAACAGTAACAGTAACAGTAACAGTAACAGTAACAGTAACAGTAACAGTAACCCCAATACAATCCTGATTGTATTGGGGTTACTGTAACTGTTACTGTAACCCTTAAAGTTAACCCTAGAACCCGAACAGTGGAATTTACGTTTATCACGTGACTGAAACAGTTTTTTTGGATCGTGCTGAGCAGACTATGGAATGTCACAACCAAGTATAACTATTTTGTTGCCCTTGACACATGACATGCACAGGGAGACTATTACTGGGCGGCGCTCAGCCTGTCATTCCGCCGAATCTTTATGTTTATGAACATAATAGCCTGGGGTCCCCAGGTAAGGAGACTAAAGTGCAAAGAAACTGCTGCTAACTGCTGCTGACTGCTGCTAACTGCTGCTAACTGCTGCTGACTGCTGCTAACTGCTGCTGACTGCTGTTAACTGCTGCTGACTGCTGCTAACTGCTGCTGACTGCTGCTAACTGCTGCTGACTGCTGCTGACCGCTGCTTACTGCTGCTAACTGCTGCTGTCGCGCGCGACATGAATATTAATATTTGGAACAAATGTTTTACGAGTATGATCACCCGTTAAAACGATTAAATGGCCAACTGTTGCCTGTTACTCAAATTTGGGACAATTCGCCTTTCATAAAATTAAAGTAAAAGCATTAATGAGGACCGTTTAAACGTAAATCTAATATTAGTATTTCCAATTTCTCTGTTATACTTATACTTTAACTATATAATATAAATAAGTATATAATAAGTATAACAGAGACATACTACTAAAGCTAGATTTACGTTTAAATGGTTCTCAATATTGCTAATTTTACTTTAATTTTAGTAGATTAGCTTATTATCTTTTGCGTGAATTTTCCTGGGCAGGAGCAATTGCTGCAATTTTGAGTTTTTGAGCTTTCTCCGTGGCATTCAGCTCCACCATAAGCCACTCCCAGTTCCCACTAAATCGCTCCCCCAAATTTTAAGAAAATTCTTGTCAAAAGGCCCTGAGGGTATAAAAGTAATTTATGATTTAATTCGGTGTATTTTTGGACGTAGGGTTATAAAATTCCGGCTCTGATTCCGGTTAAGGTTAAGGTTGTGGTTAGGGTTATGGATAGCTTCGGGGTGCTGGATCGGTGCAATTTCTAAACCTTATCCGGATCATATTTCCCAGCAGTCGGGCTTAGGCTTAGGGCAGACAGCAGTCTGTTGATCAGTCTTCAAAATCACTCCAGCCACTTTCCACCATCAGTTCGTAAATTAGCATAGTAGTAGGAGTGAGAGGCTGTGTTACCTGGGGACCCAAGGCTATTATGTTCATAAACATATATGCGGAATAGAGATTCGGCGGAATGACAGGCTAAGCGCCGCTCAGTGAGAGGCGGTGTCGCAGGTACAGAATCTGAACTTTGCCATTTCTTCATTGTAGCTCGAGCTCCAATCATTCTTATCTCAAGAAGATGATGACATCAAGAGGTCCACCACCGTTACGTTGTTGCAGTGTATCGTTGACGTTACCCTGGATTAATCACGACTGGAGCATTTGTCACTTAATTTGGGAGTGAGTGAAAAATGAGGAAACACGTTTAACTTTACGTCTATTTCTCAATCTGATTATGAATTTTATCGCGGGTTATACCAAGGAATACCAAAGAATACCAAGGAATACCAAGGAATACCAAGGAATACCAAGGAATACCAAGGAATACCAAGGAATACCAAGGAATACCAAGGAATACCAAGGAATACCAAGGAATACCAAGGAATACCAAGGAATACCAAGGAATACCAAGGAATACCAAGGAATACCAAGGAATACCAAGGAATACCAAGGAATACCAAGGAATACCAAGGAATACCAAGGAATACCAAGGAATACCAAGGAATACCAAGGAATACCAAGGAATACCAAGGAATACCAAGGAATACCAAGGAATACCAAGGAATACCAAGGAATACCAAGGAATACCAAGGAATACCAAGGAATACCAAGGAATACCAAGGAATACCAAGGAATACCAAGGAATACCAAGGAATACCAAGGAATACCAAGGAATACCAAGGAATACCAAGGAATACCAAGGAATACCAAGGAATACCAAGGAATACCAAGGAATACCAAGGAATACCAAGGAATACCAAGGAATACCAAGGAATACCAAGGAATACCAAGGAATACCAAGGAATACCAAGGAATACCAAGGAATACCAAGGAATACCAAGGAATACCAAGGAATACCAAGGAATACCAAGGAATACCAAGGAATACCAAGGAATACCAAGGAATACCAAGGAATACCAAGGAATACCAAGGAATACCAAGGAATACCAAGGAATACCAAGGAATACCAAGGAATACCAAGGAATACCAAGGAATACCAAGGAATACCAAGGAATACCAAGGAATACCAAGGAATACCAAGGAATACCAAGGAATACCAAGGAATACCAAGGAATACCAAGGAATACCAAGGAATACCAAGGAATACCAAGGAATACCAAGGAATACCAAGTAATACCAAGGAATACCAAGGAATACCAGGAAATCTACTGTCAAAAATCATTCTATTCGCTGAACTGATTGTACTTGTAGCTTGAATCCAATTACTGCACGCCATTCAAGTACTCAAGTAGAGTTACTGCAATTTTAACGGTTCTTAAACGTGACAACCTTCACTGTTATTACTTTTAGTTTTAATATTACCAGGTTGCCCGACAATTTTCCGCTAGGAATACACTTAAATAATACACTCTCACTCATTATTTGATAATACACTCTCACCCATTATTTGATAATACACTCTCACTGTCATTATTTGATAATACACTCTCACTGTCATTATTTGATAATACACTCTCACTGCCGTTTTAAATTTGTTAGCTCTCGTTATCGCACTGCTTATCTCTTGATAATTGCACCGCTACTGCGCTGCTAGCTTGTTGTGCTGATCTTTACGATGGCAGATTTGGACTTGGAAAGTATCAATTACATGTGGAATGAGATGTTCACCTGGAGCAAAGAGACTCTGAAGAAATTTGGCAAGCCGTACGGAAAGTTAAAGGACATTGCGGACGCTAAGAACTTCAACAGACTGAATAAGCCGGAGATTGTCGATGTGTGTGGTCGATCTTTTGAGTATACGAACTATCTTATGGAGACCGTTGAAGCGTATAAGAATGTGTTGACCAGACTTCAGGGTCGGTTAATTGAAAAGCAAGAGCAGGTTATCAGTGTTCAGGCCGAGCTATCAGCTTGCAAGACTGAGAAACTTGAAGCGATGAAGAAAACTGTGTCAAGTTCAGTTGCTGATTCAGTGAAAGCGGAGTTCCAATCTTACAGCTCTATCGTTCAAAGTTTTCCAGCACAGTCTCCAGTAATCAGCCCAGAAGCATTGACGTCTGTAGTCAAGACTATTGTTGCAGAGGAGGACCGCAGCAGGAACCTTCTTATCTTCGGTCTGCCTGAGGAAAAAGAAGAGAAGCTCGAATCTCAAGTCAGTGAAGTTCTGGAAACTATTGGCATAAAGCCAAAAGTAGAGGCTCAGAGAATAGGAAAAAAGAAAACGGTTGACTCAACGCGACCAGTTAAAGTTATTACCTCAAACTCGCTCATCGTTGATCAGATTCTGAGGAATGCCAGGAACCTGCGGCAGAGTGAGAAGTTTAAGACAGTTTTCTTGAGCCCTGATCGGTCTGTCGAACAGAGGAAGCTCCGGAAAGATCTGGTACAAGACATGAAGAAGCGGGCACTTGCAGAACCGACCAAAAAGTTTTACATAAAGAACGGGCAAATTTATTGTGCCGATGAGAGCAACGGTTGACAACTTTTTTTGAGTGTGTGTTTCGTGTGCTGTTTTGATATGTTTTGGACCATGTTTGTGAGGGACATATTGGTAGCTGTAGTTATTTTCTAAACAAGACTGAATAGTCTTCAGGCTTTAGCTGAGCTTTAATTTCCGACGCAGTTTTGTTGAGCCACTAGTCCATGATGGGGAATATAAACAATATATTTAACTCTTAATGGTCATAGCTACTTTTAATTTCAGGAATCATACAGATTTTAAAGTACGCTGGTACGATTTTTATCTTATTAAATTGCTGTTCAATATCTATTTTAGTAAACATTAACTGGGGTAGTAAAACCCAGTTCCCAATCAATCAATCCTTAATATTTGATAGTGATATAATATTATGATGGTTAACAGTTAAGTTCCTATTTTAGTATTAGCCATCACATTGTAACCATCCTCGTCATGCTGGCCATTGGAATTCAATATCATTATTATTTCGCAACATTTACAATATGTCGTCATTGCTTAACCAGACGCATAGAAGCTTAAATTCGAAGGGCCGCTTCAATTGACCTAATTTTGTCCCTTGACGCTTGATTTTCCAAAGATTCGCGATAAGATTTAGAATTAGATTGAGAAATAGACGCTAGCGTGTCTCCTCATTTGTCACTCACTCCCACAATTAGGGTGGAGCTGCTGAATTTGTGGCTAATCTTTACACAGACGTAGTGGTAACCCGGTTTAGAGCATGCGACGTGGGGTAATAATAACCTGAGTTAACGTTCAAGCCTTTGATCCACAGGAATTATAAAAAGTCATAGACTTCATGCATGATTGATCATATTCATATGTCATGCTCTATCAGCATATAACTTCTGTAAACTTAGTCCTCTTATGGTTTATACCTCTGTTGTCAACTAATCGCACCAGTCAGTGCCTAAGTGAACTGCATCACACGAGGGATAAATATTATTCAAATTTATTCCCTATCGGCTATTGTTCGTTGTGCTTGGTTATTTTGTATTCAGGTTGCTAGTCTGCATGGTCATGGTGCATGCTGTTTGCCAGAACAAACAATGCTTTGATTTAAAACAGATAATTATCATTAAGTGCCGCGTTACCTAATTTGAAATCGATTTCGTGCACTCGAACAGCGGTGCAGGCGTCTGAATAAAAATGGTAATCACAATTTTGTCACAATGCCCTTAACGCAAATAAAGAAATCTAAAATGAAAGAGAAGCAATTCATTATTGAAAGCGTTAAAATTTAGGGCCACTTTTTGACCTCTAATTGTGCTGCAGCCATTGTCATCGTTGTAATTTACCCCTTTGACTATTTTAAGCGTATTAATTATCAGGAGACCTGGACTGATTTTAAGGTCTGTGGATTTGAATATTTAAAATGGCTGGTTCTGGTGATTGCAGTACAAATACAGAATCTCAAGCTGTTCTTCAGAACAAGATTTCTCGTTTAAACTTTTTATGACTGCCCCATTTTCATGATAATTTCAGGGAATTCGGATATTCAAAATGCCAAGTTAATGGTGCAGTGATTGCAGTACATCTACAGATTGCTGATTGAGATGTAATTACTATTGGTATTACTATTACGATATCCAAGCTGGCTATCAGAATTCTTTTTCGTTTACACCGCAGCACTATTTTTAAATATAAAGTTAAACTAATGGCTAAGTTCAATTGATCTTTTGATTCTGAATGCAGTCGGTACAATTACAAATAACGGCCCAATTTCTGCAAGCTGAAGGCTATTACTATTAGTAATAGTATTAGTATTGGCTTCGTACTCTTACGTTCGTATTTCTGATACTATGAGTATGATTAAATTTAAACGATTAGGTTAATGCTTGTTAACATAAAAATACCAAAAATATAACTTTCATTCAATTCTAATAACATTTCTTCACGATCACATCTAGAGACAAATCCGAGTTAATAATGTCCACCATTTCCGGATTCAACCTATTCGTCAGATTTTTGTTCTTTGCCATTCTTATTCTCACAGGTATAGTAAATTTAAGATTTTTAGTCGTACAAAAACAAAATAGGTTAAACTTAACTGTTGATCTGGCCCCACATGTTTTGAATTTTAACATTTAATGCCGAAATTTCTTCAATATTTCTTTTTTAGTGTGGAGCAAAGCAGTAAACGAGGAATCAGCGATAGTGTTCTCGAGTAACGAAGATGAAGGTATATTTATAAATATAATTAACGGTGCAAATTTTCTACTGTCATTACATTTATTTCTCTATCATTTATTCGCAATTTTTATAGTTTTTCTCGTACGGTCGTGAAAAGAGAAGCTAGTTCAATATTTTCATTTTGAAAGTTTAAGTATGTATAAATATAATGGCAAAAATTCACCAGGAATGCTGGGCCCTATCATGATGGCGGGAGCTGACGCAGACCTAGCTTAGTTCCTCAACACTAACAGTTTTACTCCGGAGTCCAGACCTTACAGCTCTTCTGGACCAAGGCTGTTGAGATATTTTACCGCTATAAGAGATTGTATCTCCACAGAAAGCACATCCAATTTGATACGGATGAAGTTGTTCTATAGCTTGCCTGATTCTGCAATAAGTTAACCTGTCCTGACCAAAATTGACCGGGGATCACTTTCGAGACACCCTGACAAACGCTACTCACGCTATTGTGCTTTTTACGGAAAAAATAAGACAGTAGCGATCATTTTGAGTTTGCCATTCTCTTTCAAAAGTATTCCAAGTTATTTTTATAATGGTAATGGTATTTATTGATTCTGAATACATTGCAAAATATTTTGTATTTCATCTCGATTTATGAAGTTTGAAAAAAGTTTCTGCAATGCGTGAAATTTGGGGAGTGTGCTTTCTGTGGAGATATAAACTGCGCATTCTGATATTATATTCTTTGACCATCAATGCTGTTACTAATTTAAATTTAATTATCATTTATCAAGTTGTGATTTTTTGTCGACGCGCCCAAAAAAGAAAGCGGACCGTGACCACTACCAGTATCTCTTTCTTTCAATTGAAAAGAAATTTTATGAATTTAGATTACTGTTCCCAAACACAAAATGATACAGAGACTAAAATCATTCGCTACCTTTTAGTTTTCCCATTCATTCACGGCCTGAAAATTGTAGCGAGTTAAACGTTTAGGTTTATCATTGATACATGTTACGTATCCCAAATATCAGGCTTCGCGCGCGAAAAGTGGCATGCAACGTATGTCAAGTTTATCACATCAATTACACTCTGTCGATATTTCGTAGGGTTGCTTTTGGGAAACCTAGTGTACAATCAATCATCAATTGTGATGAAAAACCTAATTAGGTATGAGAAAGGGATGTTTATGGCTCTGAAAGTTCGAGGGTCCCAGTCAAAGTTCAATGAGGAGTCAAAGAAAGACTTTCTTTGTAAATATTCTCATATTTTGTGCACATGTTCATGTTGTATGAAGTACTATTATACATTTTAACGGTCGTGCTTGCCAGCACTGTAATTAGATTGGAAACGTTATACACGAAAATTGTCTTCAACTTTGTATTTGTAGTACTAGTATGATCATCTGCCCCATATTTACATAAAAACAAAAACAAACTCTCAACAAAATTTTTCTAGTCAAGCCAAAACGCTAAACACGCTCAGTCCTAAAGTTATCTTGTCAAAGCAAAAAGAAATGACACAAAGTGAAACATAACTGATATAAAAATTCAGCTCAGGAACACAGCACATGTGTCCGGAGCTAGTCAATCCACGTCATTTTAGTGTCGTATCCTCATTTTTCAACCGACACGAAGAAGCCACACCTCAGATCTTCAGATAACCCCGGTCTGACACAAATTCTTTGTTTTCATCTCTTGATGGATATCTCCAAGCAGTGAGACGGCTGACATCTCCCTAGTTTCAATTACAGTAGGAAAGATCATCCTCAAGTTACTGTGGGTTCCTCTATATGTAACTCTCCCATGGAGTTCTGGACATTGTCCGCGGGTGTTCTGAGAAAATGAAGGTCGTGATTAGGGGCCGGGGTTGCATTAGTAGAATTATCCGAATAAAATCTAAAATGGTAAACAGAACGGGGAGATTGAATTAGTTATCTCTATGGCTGTATGTAACAAGCGAAACACAGCTTACTTTGGAAGGGAGCGGGATTTTCTGTCAGAACGGAGTTTAAATGATCTGTTCCTTGCGATGTTGTAAATTCTCATCTGAAACGAAAGATTCATTAGGTGGTTTATCTCAAGTTTGTTGCACAAGAATTTCCAGATTACCCACCATAATAACTTGTTTATAAGCCTGGTAACTTGTCTAGCAGCCTGGATACTAACTACGGTGACCAACTAAGTAACTTGGTAACTAGGTAACTAGGTAACTAGGTAACTAGGTAACTAAGTAACTTGGTAACTAGGTAACTAGGTAACTAAGTAACTTGGTAACTAGGTAACTAAGTAACTTGGTAACTAGGTAACTAGGTAACTAAGTAACTTGGTAACTAGGTAACTAGGTAACTAGGTAACTAAGTAAATTGGTAACTAGGTAACTAGCAGAGGCACATATTAGGTGCGATGGGTGCGGGATCGCACAATTTACCGTTTTCCGCGCATTTCCGCATAATTTATTGTTTTCCGCACATTTCTGCACATTTTGTAATTTTCTGCATATTTCCGCATAATCTAGAATTTTCCGCGTAATTTCGCATAATTTTGAAATTTTCGCGTTAAGATTTTCGAGTGTAAAAACCAAAATATTTTAAAAGTCGGGGTCTTTTAGGACCGTGACTCAGGCCCTTTCGGGACCGTGACTCAGGCCCTTTCGGGACCCTGACCCAGGCCCTTTCGGGACCCTGACCCAGGCCCTTTCGGGACCCTGACCCAGGCCCTTTCGGGACCGTGACCCAGGCCCTTTTGGAACTCATACTTAGGCCACGTGACCCAGTTACCACGTGACCCAGGCCCTTTCGGGACCCTGACCCAGGCCCTTTCGGGACCCTGACCCAGGCCCTTTCGGGACCGTTACCCAGGCCCTTTTGGAACTCATGCCTAGGCCACGTGACCCGGTTACCACGTGACCCAGGCCTTTTCGGAACCGTGACCCAGGCCCTTTCGGGACCGTTACCCAGGCCCTTTCGGGACCGTGACCCAGGCCCTTTCGGGACCGTGACCCAGGCTGTTATAGAACCCTCGTCATTACCGTACTTCGATTATAGTGTATCAGTTATCATTCGTAACTTCACCACATCATCTGCTTACTCTATATCACATCACAACGTCATGGACCGTTTCCTAAAGAAACGAACAGCTACAGACAGTGACCCATCATCCAGTTCACCACACAAGAAACAGAAGATACCTGCATGGGATCTGATCGACTCTATCAAGAGGCGTCTTCAAATAACTGTTTCCTGATCTCTACCAGATCAAGTCACTTTTCTCAGATAACTGAATCTCAATATTAGGTTCAATCATGGTCTTAGTAAAGAACTACACCTTCAGTAACACATAAACAGACCTATTTTTGATAAGAGCGGCGGTTATACGTTTAGAATTTCCAAAGTCCTTGAAAAAATGCAAAGGAAAACCGCTCAATTCCCGCACAAATTTCGAAAAAATCGCCGCACATTTGCCGCATAATTGGTAAAAATTTACCGCACCTTACCGCACATTTAACCTTTATAGTCGGGTGCGGTACCGCATAATTTCGATTTTTTTACCGCACCTAATATGTGCCTCTGGTAACTAGGTAACTAAGTAACTAGGTAACTAGGTAACTAGGTAACTTGGTAACTAGGTAACTAGGTAACTAGGTAACTTGGTAACTAGGTAACTAGGTAACTAGGTAACTAAGTAACTTGGTAACTAGGTAATTAGGTAACTAGGTAACTAGGTAACTAGGTAACTAGGTAACTAAGTAAATTGGTAACTAGGTAACTAGGTAACTAGTTAACTTGGTAACTATGTAACTTGGTAACTAGGTAACTTGGTAACTTGGTAACTTGGTAACTAGGTAACTTGGTAACTAGGTAACTAGGTAACTTGGTAACTTGGTGAACGGTATTGGTAACTCACCATGGTTCCCCACTTGATGCAGGTGACAGCGTTGGCGATCTCTGCATCGCTAACCTCCACCAAGTTACAGTTCTGAGCGCTGGTTTTCAGCGTTATCTGTCCGTTATCCGTCACCCACGGGTGGGACTTTGCCTCCTCTATGCTGATGCGGTCATCTACATTCTGAAGAGAGCGAGTCTATACATCTGTTAGAATTTATACATCTATTAAAATATCAACATGCTGTGACATGGTTTATATCACTCAGTTTTTTTAAATATTGTCAATAAAGTAACGAAGCTTCAAAGAGGGGTATTGTCCATAGTAGCACTATTATAGTAAAGTAGTAAGAGTCACTCAAATTTGGGAATAATTGCAGGCAAAAATCAACACCAGTTTTTGTTTTGCAGTCTATTTCAAGAGGTACTTGACGATTGGTCAGTGGAACCCGTGAATGGGTCTCGTACGAGATAGAAATGAAATGATATTTTGTCCACTTTCTCAAAACCCTGGATTTTCCAAAATTGAAGAGAAAGGTATACCTTGGCCATAAGTCTCTGGAAGAGGTCTTTTAGATCATCGTTTAGCATGTCACTCTCTGGAAACACTAACCTGATAATGATGAGTACAATTATAGCACACTTGTACGAAGGAGATAAATGTCGTTGATCGTTGTAAATATAAGATGTTTCTCAATACTATGAGACATGAACAATGTTCACCATAATCAAAATAAGATAAAATAAAAAGCTGACAAAGGTTACAAAGAGCGAAGGGCAAGTCCTAACATAAGCACCTAAAGACTCACACAAATAAAGCTACTCACTTTGCTTCTCTAATATTCTCATGAAGCTTCAGGATACTATCACCCCTGAACGGAACCCTCCCGAAACAGAATATCCAAAGTGTCACCCCACAGGCCCAGATATCCAGTAACTGGCCGTCAAAACTGGTGATGTCGGGGTCCACAGCTTCTGGGGGGAGGAATGCGGGGGATCCGGCTGAGTTCTTTACAACAGCTCTGTCTCCTTCAAATATCTCGGATACTCCGAAATCTGGGGTTGGTTAGCTGTCGTTAACAAAGTATGCTTCATAAAATGTAGTATACTAAACACAAAACTTCATCCTTATTTTCCCTTATCCCTTTTGTTCTCGCCATTTATAAGTATAACACTGTGCTGTTCCTCTCAGTCTTATGACTCTTATTATTACCTGCTATTTTAAGTTCCCCATTGCTTCCTAACAGTAAATTAGAGGGCTTGATGTCTCGGTGAATAATCTTTTGATAGTGCACTGAAACATGAATCATTAGTCGCATTAAGAATTAAGATCAAATAGTAGAAAAATATCAAGTAAACAGAACTTTGGTGGTTTTGATGAATTTGAAAAGAAAATTAGCTAAACAAATAGAGATTGGACGCACAGTACTCGAGTCCTAGGAGGAGATGCCTGAAGAATCGTTTACATGTTTGCTCTGGCAGGGGGTTAACTTGAGCTTTTGATCCCATATTCGGTTCCTCCATCACCTTTTGGGAGGTTATAGTTAAAATCTGATCAAAAGACAACTCGCAAAGTAAAACAAACATTAGTGGCATTCTAAAAAGATTAAACATTTCACTCTACCTTTGTAAAACGCTAATACCTGCCAGAACTTTAAGTAGTTAATAATAAGAAAATGAAAATAGAAAGCTCCCAACTTACCTGTCCGTTGGACATGAGTTCGAAGACTAGATAGATATTCTGTTCCGGAGACTGAGTGTCATCTATTACTTCCTTCATACACACGATGTTATCGTGTTCGCACTTCTTCAGGATGGCTATCTCCATGTGGATCTTGTCGAGAGGATTGCTGCTGGCGCTTGGTTTCCTTCCTGGGGGCTGCCTTCTGGGGGGACCTTTTAATGATCGTCCTGGTGGAGTTGGAGGGTTAGAACTGGTGGGGTTGGAGGGTTAGAACTGGTGGGGTTGGAGGGTTAGAACTGGTGGGGTTGGAGGGTTAGAACTGGTGGGGTTGGAGGGTTAGAATTGGTGGGGTTAGAGGGTTAGAATTGGTGGGGTTAGAGGGTTAGAATTGGTGGGGTTAGAGGGTTAGAACTGGTGGGGTTGGAGGGTTAGAATTGGTGGGGTAGGAGGGTTAGAATTGGTGGGGTAGGAGGGTTAGAACTGGTGGGGTTGGAGGGTTAGAACTGGTGGGGTTGGAGGGTTAGAACTGGTGGGGTTGGAGGGTTAGAATTGGTGGGGTTGGAGGGTTAGAACTGGTGGGGTTGGAGGGTTAGAATTGGTGGGGTAGGAGGGTTATAATTGGTGGGGTAGGAGGGTTAGAACTGGTGGGGTTGGAGGGTTAGAACTGGTGGGGCTGGAGGGTTAGAACTGGTGGGGTTGGAGGGTTAGAATTGGTGGGGTTGGAGGGTTAGAATTGGTGGGGTAGCAGGGTTAGAACTGGTGGGGTTGGAGGGTTAGAACTGGTGGGGTTAGAGGGTTAGAACTGGTGGGGTTGGAGGGTTAGAATTGGTGGGGTAGGAGGGTTAGAATTGGTGGGGTAGGAGGGTTAGAACTGGTGGGGTTAGAGGGTTAGAATTGGTGGGGTAGGAGGGTTAGAACTGGTGGGGTTAGAGGGTTAGAACTGGTGGGGTTGGAGGGTTAGAACTGATGGGGATAGAGGGTTAGTCTAAGGAATATGTGTTTATTCTCATATTACGTAAGCCTATAACTTTGGCCACTTTAGAGCCCACTCCCCACCCCGTACTAAGCCACTTTACAGTTTACACGTAGCTGTTGCGTAAAAAATACATTAGTGTAATTTTCAAAAACCCCTCCTCTAGGCTCATGGGTAACATGTAAAGTTGGGGGACTACCCCATTCTTCAGTTCAATGTACACTGTACAGTTGGATATAATCAATATCATGATGCGAAGATTTAAACTCTGTACTATGATGATACTACACAATCTCTTTGCTGGTTTACAGTCCAATGTTCGATGTTAACAGAGGAAAATTATACAATTAGGTACTAATAAAAGAGGACACTATTGGCAGATACCTGAAAATCCAGCTTTTGCTTTGATACGTTTCTTGCTGATGATCTTGATGGCGTAGTCCACATTTGTTGACTGATCAGTACAGTGTTTCACAATCCCATAGGAGCCGTTACCAAGCACCTCTTTCAAAATGTAGTTGTTCAGCTGCTCGTATTCCTGAAACAAAACACCAGGTTAATAGTTCGCACTTTGCAGCCGAAAATGAAACCTTATGTTGCGCGTCAAAACCTACTTTCAATGAGGTCTACAATTGTTGAAGTATACCTAACAAGTGTTCATATTACTAACAGACAACAGTAACAAACTTCATATTATATTCTAGTAAAGTAAGTCTAAAAAGTTGTTCACTATCGTACTTGAACATCCGACATAAGGAAAGACAATCAAACTCCTCCTCCACCTCCAACAAAGCTAAAACACAAAACTATGACAACTCAACAACTATAATACAACACTTACTGACGGACAAGTCAAACGAAATTCACAGTAACGAAGAGAAATATTTGTCCGTCACTCCGGTCTTATATATCCACCAGCGTGCGCTTTTTCGCATAGCGGGCTCTCACCAGCCCGCTGTCAAAGGGCCCAATATCTCTACAGCCCGCTCATGATATAGCCCGATAACAAGTGACATTTAATTTGACCAGTAGCAATATAGCCCGGAGTTCTCTAAAACATTTTCAGTTTCTGTATCGTCTCTGCATGTGAAATTCCATAAGACAACAACTTACAAGTTACTTAGAACTATAGTTGAAACCGGTTTAATTCATTAACGATGAATTCAATTGCAATAATCGTACAGTGAGCTAATTAGTGTAGACTGTAGTTTCTGTTTCTAAATTACCGTTCAGTGTCTGGGGAGGAAGGAATTGTAATCGTGCAACTGTTTGCGAGCAGTTTCTCATGAGAAAAGTTTCACTATCCAAACACGTGCCAAACTGCGTGTGTCACGTGATTTGTTCAGCGCGCTATCCTTGCTTCAATACGACAGGAATCACGTCACGTGACTAACACATGCGGGCGCACATGTGACCTTTTGAAACGTCTTCCGACCCGTTTGCAGTTCATAGGCCACTATGAACTGCAAACGGGTATCGAGGAATATGGTGTCCGGTAAATCGCTTTCACTTTCAACTTTCTGTTCCGCTGCACCAGGAAACAATGTCCTCATTTCCTGTCCGAGCCACCACGATTCCTGAGCTCTGGTCAGATATTCTTGTCGAGCTTCAAGCTGGTCTGCTGCCCTGTTAGTTTATTGTTCTTGAACCTGAACTTTTCGCTCCCGAGAAATTTGCTTTGCTTTTCTCAACGTTGCCACTCACTTTTGTAATTCCCAATGGTAGATTAAACTTTTTAACCAATGATGCACATCGCACTGTGACCTGATCGGATCAAAGGGCAGAAAATGTTTGAAGTTTACCTCTTTATAGGACACTTTTTGCTCAAGTTTATGCATAATCTGAAAATATATTGCTGCTTGTCGGGAATAGGACCAATGTCATCTAAAAACTTACAGTTGCCTATTTTAGCGAACATGTATTATCCGTTGATATTTTCTCAAGTTTTCTTTCAATGTCTTAATTACTGATAGCAACTAATATTGACATCTTTGGCAGGGGTGTTTAATTTTTCACCATGTCCGCGGATGATGACCCAGATTACTTTCCAACTCCGTCGCAGCTAACAGATGGAAACTCCAGGGATAATTTTGACTCCAGCGACAGTTTTCAATCCAGCGATGATTTTGACGCGGATATTGACATATATGGAAACTTTGATGTCGGAATCGAAGACCTTATACCACAGACTCAGAGCAACAGCAATGATACTCGTACGACGACCCGGACCCGATCTTCAGATTCAGCACGGACCCAGAGCAACAGTGTGGACACCCTGAGGACGACCCGGACCCGATCTTCAGATTCAGCACGGACCCAGAGCAACAGTGTGGACACCCCGAGGACAACCCGGACCCGATCTTCAGATTCGGCACGGACCCAGAGCAACAGTGTGGACACCCTGAGGACGACCCGGACCCGATCTTCAGATTCAGCACGGACCCAGAGCAACAGTGTGGACACCCCGAGGACGACCCGGACCCGATCTGCAGAATCAGCTCATAATCGCTCTTGCCGCCTCCTCGACGAAGCTGATGTCGATCCTCTTCTACATCAGTTCTCCATCAGCAACATACTGTATGGAAGTGACCCAGCTACCCCCGGTTCATCGAAGACTACTCCTCGCACTGACCTCGATCGTGAACTTGAGAAGACGGTTACGGGATATCTATCAAATACTGTCCCCGAGAACACCCTCAAAAAGAATCAGACAGCTTTGAACGCCTTCGCTGACTTTGCTAAAGAGGATTCCACGGTGCAGACTCGCTGGGAGGTCATGCCACTGAGTAGAATGCCGAACGGTCTCGTCCGCTATGTTGCATCTAAAGGGAAGGATTATGACCAGGTCACCTTCCACGGACTCCTAGGAGGTTAGGAATTATTTGGTCGTCTTTCTTTTTAACTCCAATCAATAGTTTTTTTTCTGTAAATTTTAGGCTCATGTTCTCTCTGATTCAAATCCTCTTTCAAACTTCAATTTCAATTATTCCGGTATTTCAATAATTCCGGTATTGGACCAAATTCGGCACAATTTACCGCGATAAACAAATGCCTCTGCTTCAGGGTTGAATCGTGTCTTACGTGCAAGATGTGACGATCTGAACATCGGGGAAGATTATAACATCTTTAAGCACCGAAGATTTCGCCCCTTTCAACTCGTCTATGACGGATACGTGAAGCAGAAACAGTACACGATGAAAGCCCCTACCAACACTCAAGCTGACCACCTGTCTGAAGACGATACAGCAAGACTCCTCAGCGTACTTGGCACTTCTGATCCCGAGCAGCTGTTGGCTTCTCTCATATTCTATACAACCTACACATTCGCATTGAGGTAACTTTTGCATTCGAATCTTCTTCTTTGATAACCTCGCTTTCCAATGCTGAAATAAAGCCGTCTACTCACTCTGAGGTGTAACAGGTACATTAGCTGAGCTCTCCTTCAACATACATGTTGGTTGGAATTTCACATTTCATGCACTCAGTTTCGAACTACAATTTTGATTTACTGCTATGCAATGTGCTAATTTTGAAATTTTTCAGAGGCGGTACGGAATTAAACAACATGACCCCTGCGAGCTTTACCTTCACAATCGGAGACAGAACAGTGGACACAACTTACGTTGAGAACGCGGCCAAAAATCGTCAACCTGGTCTGAAAAACATACACCACAAACGCAGGACTGTCACCCATATCAGCAAGAAAAGCGACACAGAAACGTTCTACTTCTACTATCACTTCTATCTTGACCGCTGCCCTCCAGAAATGAGGAACTCTTCTACGCTGAGACTGTTTCAACATCCTCTTAGGAGAGCAGATCCATCAACAGATCTAGTATGGTACGTTCTCTCCCAACAATTTTAAGCAGTCTTTTAATACTCATGATCGTATTTCATTTTGTATTTACCTGTTGAAATGTTTACCAAATTCATAGCATTCTTTGATACAGCATTTGAATTGAATCTTATCTTACTAATAGTTTCTGTATTCTTTTTGAATTTTCACACACGCAAAAGGTTTTTCATGAATTTTATGTTAGTTATATTACAGGTACGGAACTAAGAAACCTCTCGGACGTAATTACTAGTAGAAGAAGTACTTCGAACGCGCTGGATTAGACTCAGAGAAAGGAAAGTTCTCACTACGATCGCTACGAGCCACTGTAACTACTCGCTTGAATCAGCACGGGGTTGATGATCGTGTTATCATGGCCCGCACCGGGCATAGGAGCCAAGCTGGACTGGATCGTTATAAGCGCCCTGGTTTGAATAAAAACATTGTGAATGTGTCTGAAATCCTTACTTTAAACAACCCGAGAAAGCTTTTATACCGGGCCGGTTTTATCATAGCTGCTGTGATTATTGCTCTGATCTCGACATACGCGTTCATAATGCTTAAACCTGGACTATAAGTACAAAAGAGTTTCCCAATACTGTAACGATCACCATCTTACTTATTGTTTATGTTAAATATTTCTCTAGCTCTGTAATATTATCTTATTAACATCATAGTGTTAATATTATTATGTCCGAATTGCAACTTTTTAAATTAAGTTTAATCTTATATGATGCTCATAGCTTGACTAATAGTAGAGTGTCAACGTACTGTTAATGTTATGGCATCTTGAACTATCTTAAATTGAATGAGTCAGAATTGTTCTCTGATATTTCTTAAATACTCTTAATTTCGATCAACTGTAACCCCTGTTTTATTTGTTCGATCAATTTCATTAGAAACATGTTGAAAGTAAAAGTGAAACTAAATTAAAAACGGATCTCTTGAAGAAACTAAAATAATAACTAATATCTATAAGAAAAAGCTCACGCTGGTGGATATAATCCACATCACCTCGACCCGCGGGCGGAAAAATCGTATAGCCCTCGGGCCCGATGGGCCCTCCGTGCTATACGAAAATATGTCCTCCTCGGGCTAGCGCCCTCGGGGACACATGAAATATTGCCCGCGCGTGCGCGGGCAATATTTTGTTCCGCCCGCGAGTCTCCGGTGATATGTATATATATACCTTATCATTGATGTTGACAAGCCTCATGTTCCGGAGGACACACGGTATTCGGATATATCGTACACTATTAATATATCATAAAAATATAGAGGAACGATTTATATTTGATTACTGATCGTGAAATTAGACACTGTTAATTAATGATCGAATGATGATACATGATCGAATGGAATCCGGATAAACGTTTTCTTAAACGATATCTTTCAGTCACATCCTAATTTTCCAGCAGCACATCCTAGTAAAACATATACGAATAAGAAAAACTAAGAATTGATTACGGGGAAGATGTGTTGGCAGGTAGAACAAAGACGATAGCAATTCTATAGTTCTATAGAATGGTGCTATTAGCATGACATGACACAACCATATTCAGGCATAACATGTGAGGTATTTTGTTCTCTAAATGACAAAAGCCGCACATTTCTCCGGTGATTGTTGTACGGGTCAATTAGAACATTTTCTAACGATTAATAAATTTTAAATTTATGCTCGCACAGGAATCAATCCGATCGAAGAATTTTATCGAGGAAAACTTCAGCAATCCACATCACAGGCTCTGGTAAGGTACGGATTTACGCCATTGCTAAAACAAATTCCTATCACTGAATAGATCACATCGAATTTAGCGTATAGCTGAGAAATGAGATTTGCAGAGATGTCATAGGGAAGCCTAAAAGTAGTGATATTCATAAAATTTTAATGAATTTCAAAACCAAATCAGTCACCATGGTGGCCATGATTAATCGGTGACCCCTTCTTTATTGTAAGGGTAACAAAGGGACTGTACCATCCAATCGAACTTTATTCCCCACAAGAAAGTTATTCAGAAGTCTTTCCAATCTCTGGCGAAGATCAGTCATCAGACCATGCCCGTACTATCGGAGCAATCTGCCGTGATGAACAGCAGATGAACTAATAAAGTTGGTGCCCAGTCCGTATCTTCTAACGAACTCTAAGATGGTGGTAATCTTCCCGCAGTACTGATGATGATTGCACAGGCACCTATGCAGCTACAGCCACGTGACTAGTAGTCACGTGACCACGACCTGTGGAGCTACAGTCACGTGACTAGTAGTCACGTGACCACGACCTGTGGAGCTACAGTCACGTGACCACGACCTGTGGAGCTACAGTCACGTGACTACGACTTGTGGAGCTAGAGACCTGTTGTCGACTGATCATATTCACGGAACAACACTACCCGAGTAGCACTGCTTGCCAAACCCCCTCACTCTGTTTCCCTTAATCATGATTATACAGGGCAAAGCTTGACAGCTGGCCGTCCTATTGAGATATAGCTGATATCGGAGAAAATTGATTAATCAACTTTTACAGAACAGCACAATACAGCTGATATATAAAACACAAACACCACAGTTCAGTGAATCGAGATTTAGACAACAACTTCATGTAACCAACGAAAATACTGGAAGATTGTTGTACCGACAAAGGTTCGGAAGTATCTCCTGATGTTAGGCGTTAGCTGGAGTCTGATCATCAGATATGGAGCACAATGGGTCGTGTCTAAAACAGTGAGTCAGCCGTTTGACATGAAAATGCGGTATCAGGCTGATACCGGTCCTTTTCGTGGGAACGGAAGCTGGAGAAGATAGATCATCACAAAGGAAATTGTTATATTGTTTTGGAACAATACCACCGTGCCAAGATTATTTATATTTAAGTACTCGATTTCAAACAACCGGGAAGGGGATTTACAACTCAATGGAATAGTTGGCACAGAATTCAGTCAGAGCCCAGAATGGTTGTAAAGAAGTTGAGAACAGTATCGTTCATGTCACAGGATTCTAAATACGCATTCCTCTGTTATTAGAGTATTAAACATTAGTCAGTTAATCTGGAAATTGGAATATAGGATGAGGAAAACGATACTTTAGATTTTTTAATATACCCAAAATATCTCACGATCATTGATAAATAGGTCATGAATCCTTCGTACTAAGAATAACATCGGACAAAATGAAATTCCGGAATTCCGAAACGTATCATAAAGACGAAAACGTCTTTAAGATGAGTGTCTTAGATGATAAATTCTGCCAAAATCGCGGTATTACAGTCACACTTGTAAACAAAACCACTAAAAGTCCACAAAAACAGTGAATATCACGAATTTTAAGTACATAGTGATGGATGGTACGAGAAGCTGCAATATTCAACTGTCAAACTGGGACATATGCAGTAGTTGTGTACCTACCTTTGAGGAATCCATTGGTTCTAAGCTTTGAAGCCGAGATAACCGATATAAGACGATAATTTTATCAAACCAATAGACGGATCCACATTCCACGGTTAGGAGGAAACTTATTAGTCTCGTACCGGAATATAGGGGAGCATTATAATCATCCAACCGCTATCGCTGTGTCTAGAGTTTATTAATGAAACGATTAACAATTTAGTGATTGTATTGATAATCTAACGTAATGGCTCTTAAATAGATATAGATAAGTAAAACTATTGCTAATTCCCGGTTAGAAGAATAGTTACTAGTTAGACGTTATTTCTCAGTGGTCTGGGCTGTATATAGACACTGATAACATTCCTGGGTCAATGAATTATTTACGATTTAAATTCAGCTCCGAAATCATACAACATTTAAATACATGTATTAAATTGCACTCGGTAAAATAGAGGCTCTTATTAAAACCTGCATTGCGTTTTCGTTATAACTTAAAACACAATAAAAAAGAACAACAAATCAGACACCAAATAAGCAGTGTATGTGAGTTAGAAACACAGTCCACATGGCTATAAGCAGCTACTGGATTTACAGTACGCTAGAAGGAACATGCAGGAGACCTGGAAGGTGGGCTAAACATTAGCACCTTGAGAGAGCCTGGGTGTTGGTTACATATTCAGTTATATAATAGGTTATCAAACCTAATTATACTGCTAATTAACCATAATTATACTGCTAATTAACCATACTTTGTCTGTATATTCGGGCTATACGAGCAAATTACGAATATCACAACTAGGCTTTCCTCGCTAGACCAAATGAGGTCTATTCATGAAATATAAGGACGAACAGTTGTTCATTTTAGGCTTTTTTGGAAGGGTGAATGTATAAAATATTTGGAATAAACACAGCTTCCGGAATTAGACTTTTTAGCGTTAAAATAGAGCATGTCATGCCAAATTAACGGAAAATGTACTCATGTACATCCGTCAATAATGAATTGTCAAAGCTAACTGCACGGAGAATAAATCAGACTAACTATTTTGAGGGTAATTAGTCGCGCCAAACTTTCTAGTTTCCTCATATTTCTTCCAATTTATTGTTTAATTGATTGAATTATGGAACGTTAAACTAAGATTAAATACGATTTCTTTGTAAAAATTGAGTGTTACCTACCATATTACAGCACTGAGCAGTCGAATCAACAATCAAAATGAAAGGTAAGAATAATTATTAAGTTATAAGAGTCGCAAGTCACAACGATCTGCAACCCAAAATCTATGAATTGAATATTATAATTAACCAGAGAGCGCGTATAATTTGTCTTCGGAGCATCACAGTAAGAGCGGTGGGATGAGGTAATTACACTGTAAGTAGAGAGGCAGGAAATAGAGGATTTTGAAGTATTCTCAGCTTTTTAGGGTATGTTTATAAACCAGAACATCAAAACTAGCGGCAATGTAAAGACGATTAATAAAAATCTTTGATCATAATCCGCAACCAAACCGGAAATCGCACAAACCTCTCCGTCAATAGTGACAACGACTGGTGTGTTGAGTTTTAGTCCAGTGCTAGCTTCAGGGCCGTCTACCAGCGAGGAGGACATCTCGAGTCTGTCGCAGGTGTCGCGCTACTGTTGGTGTCGCGCTACTGCACTACAAACACTACTGACTACAAACACTACAAAAATACAACGACTCAACAGTACTGATCACACTAGATGTAGTGAGTTAATGTAAACAAAGGGTGTGCTACAACAAGAGCGGGACAATGTAGGACAATGTAGGACAATGTAGGACAATGTAGGGCAAGATACTCGATGATGCTCAGAAGCTTACACAACACTAATCATCTATCAGTTCCGACTAGGAGGAGAAGGAGGAGGAGGAGGAGTTAAGTGTACTGTGTAGTGAAGAGAAACAATAGCGGGACAATGTGTACTGTAGCCGGAACCGCCGCGCTCAAAATTGAGTTAACACAACAAGACTCTAGTGCATATATAACGTGTGTACACGGTATATATTATATAATATATAACACAGTCTACGTTTATCATATAAGCTGTGTACATTTTCGTGTTATATGTAAGCCCGTTTTTACTTTCTGTATAACATTTTTATAGCGCGATCAGATATGTTGTTATGTTAATAATAGTTGACGTACTTCAAGGTTACTTTTCATTTTACGGTATTCCTCCACTAGACGCTGGTGTTCTTCTTCTGTGAGTGATTCCGTTTCCGTAGGGCCACGCTGTCTGGTTCAATGTTATCTGGAACACCGTTATCTGGCACTGAGTTGTCTGGCACCGAGATGTTAGGAACCAAGACTTCTGGGTCCACGCTCTCTGGAGCCAAGCTTTCTGGAGCCAAGCTTTCTGGAGCCAAGCTTTCTAAAACCAAGCTTTCTGGAGCCAAGCTTTCTGGAGCCAAGCTTTCTGGAGCCAAGCCTTCTGGAGCTAAGCTTTCTGGGTCCACTTTACT